GGAACCGATATCGGCACCACCATACACAACGCAAGGGCGGACCCAGGAGCGGTAGGCGAACTTGCGGGCCTCGTCGAAAATCTGGGAAACAAGCTCACGGGTGGGGGCCAGGATGAGGGAGGTCGGGTACGCCTTGCGTTGACGTCCGTAGCCGAATTGACCGCCAGCCTGGGCAGGAGCAGCGGAAGGACCGTTCTGATAAGCCTGAGACAAAATAGGGAAAAGGAAACCACCAGTCTTTCCGGAACCAGTCTGGGCGCAAGCCATCAAATCGCGGCCGTTCATGACAATGGGGATGGAGTACTTCTGGACGGGAGTGGGAGTCTGGTAGTGGGCGAGCTTGATGTTCTCGATCAGGTGGTCATCCAGGGGCGGGTTGGTGAAGGCGTTGACCGGCTCCGGGACATCGTGACCAGAGGCCTCCACGGGGATGTCGTCGTAGTTGGCGAAGTTGATACCGGTGTTCTGCTTGGTGGGATCGTTGGGAAGACCGAAAAGCTCGCGTTCGAGACGGGGATTGGCAGGACCGGGAATGTGCTTGCCGTCACGCCACTGGCCATCTCCAGAGCCTCGGGCAGAACCACCTCCACTTCCTCCATAAGAGCCTCCGTGACCTGGGTGTCCGTAAGCATTTGGATTAAAGGGCCGGCGAGCTTCGTGAGGGCTCCAGCTAGTGTTACCATTGGGACCGCGAGGGCTGAAATCGGGGGCGTTGGCGTTGGCCCACTGACCACCGCGAGGGCCGCCTCTGCAAAATCATGCCAGTTAGTCACTACACACAACGCGAAATGGGACACGCCCGTAATGCAAGATCACATACCTAGGACCACCCCAGGAGTTGCCAGGGCCAGCGGCGGGACCGGGGGGAGGGGCAGCGGCAGCACCGTCCATGTTTCCACCCATCTGGCGTCCGCGAAGATGGGGAGGGATGTAAGCGGCGCGACCCGTGTTGGGGGCAGCGGCAGGAGCGTGCTGAGACTCGTTGAGGGAAAGGTTTCCCATTTTCAAGCTGTCGGCCATATTTGCGGTATTTCGAACTGTGGACACCGAAGACAGGTGAGCAAAACGCGTTGGAAGTCGTTGAAGGAGCCGGCACAGAAGAAGAAAAAAAAAACGTACTATGCTGGTAATTGAACAAAGCGTTTTTTTCAGCGGATGTTGTCCTTGCGGGCGAACACTGGAAATTTCTTTTCTTCTGTACAGGACAAAAGGAAAGAAAATGAAAAAGTGAAGTAGAAAGTCCCCGCGTCTCTATCGAGTGGCAATACACAGGGGATCAATAAGAGTAACACAGTGCGAGAAAGAGGAACAGGGTAAAGAAAGACCTTGGGGAGGAATACTAAACGAAGAACAAGACGATCTCCCAGATCTAATCCTCTATTACGGTGTAGAAAGAGAGAAGAAAAAAAGGGGGGAAGGGGAAGAGAATAGGATATGATGTGGAGATATTGGAGAAAAAAAAATTGAAACCAGACTGGATTAGGAGGGGAGGTTTAGAGGGGATGGGAGGAAAAGAAGTAGGGAAGAGGAAGAAGGTTTGTGGGACGGAGAACGGGGAGGAGAGGCAAAGACGATGACTACGAAACTAAGGGAATAATGCACTGGCAGTGGTTGGCAGGCCTGCGCACTGGGAAGGTTTTGCTTGCTTATTGGCAGCCCGGCGATGGGATTATTGGGGACGGTCCGGGTGAGAAAAAAAGGTTCAGCGTGTAAAAAAGAAGCGAAGGGAAGCAGCAGCAGGAGGGCAAGCCGGCCAGCGCAGGCCAAACGGCCATTGCACCAAACAGGAAGGGGGAATGGGAAAAATCCAGAAAAAATTCTAAAAAGGCTAAACGAAACAGAGTGGCGGCGTAGTTGGTTCTGGCGGTTCTGCCTGTGTTGCCAGATGATGATGGGCTGGGCCCTGTCTATTTTGGCCCTGTTGTACCTCCGTCACTACTACTACTCAACTCACTTGCTGGAAGTTCCTCCTGTAGTCTCTGCTTGTCCCCTTTGGTCAACCGGATCATGGATTTAAAAGTGTAAAACTCTGATCAAGATCAAGGAAGTTTCCGCATTGAAACGCTGTCGATTCGACTACAAGCCATAATACATTTTCTATTTTGAAATTTTGGCCAGCTGCAAGATCCTAGGGTTGTTGGCCAAAATCCCACATTCTATACTATCTAGGGTACTAGTAGCAGCGACTTGTTCACCAGTTGATCCGGTTTGAGCCAATCTGACGAGGTCTAAAAAAACTCTGCCGTTTGCCTCAGGCTCGCCTCCCCCCCCGTAGATACTGTCACGGCCACGTGATGTACCCTCTCCAGCCAAGCGCATCCTTACTTGGCAGCCCGGCCATGGCGATGTATACTTCGCCTCCGGCGTCTTCCTTATTTTACAGTGTCAACGTCGTCGCTGTATCGTGGAATGTGATCGGCTTCTGCGCCCTGGTATGTTGACTGATTCTCGGTAATCAGAACTTCTGACAGTAGCAATGTATGAAATTGTATTCCTTAACTCCTGACCACAGCATACAAGAATTTGTCTTAACAGTACGGAGTATGATCGTCCCATACTAGGCTTACAACGCCAAAAAGTGGACACTCGCACCCCAGGATTGACGTGATTTAAGCATCATTGTGCATTACTAAATCCCCGTTGAGAGGCCTTGGATGATGATAGTGCTGTTGTCGTTCATGCTGTCCGTGCCCAACTGCTGTATATAACAGGTTACCTGTTTGTTACTTACACCCGGTTAAACGGTTTTTATTTCATATTCGAAGTCTGACTATGAAGTCCATAGTTCGTCACGGTCACGCCGAAAGCAAGCTAGACATTGTAAACCCACAAGTCCCAATGACCGCAAAGGAACCTCAGAGGAATAGCGTTACTCCTGAGAGGAAATAACCTTACTCCGCAGGAGGAATGGTCTGCCACTCAAATCATCAGCGTGGGGTCGGTGAATCATGGTAGGCAACGAGTAAATCTTATCGCCGAGAAAAACTTTCCTACTGGACGGTGCCTATCATACCACTGACTAACAAACTACTAGATGGTTAGGGGTGGCAGGAGTACTTGGACTGTTCCAAAGGTAGACTAGGTGGTGGGCGCATCCTTGCCGCTGCCTGCCTGTGGAGCTTACCACAAAAGTACTTCGTTGGCCCAACCGGAGGCCAAGCCTTTCTCTTACTTGCCACTGAGAGATGATCTCACAGCACTTGCTCCTGGCGCGCTTGCCACGGCTGTTCTAAAGGCGTGGGTTATGCGTCGGCTCGTCATGTGGCACTCGAATACGGCCTGCAGTACTATGTAGTTGTACGCTGCAAGGAAGACGTAGAGTACGGGCTGCAGCAGAGGGCATATTTACTTAGCAATTCTTTCCATGTAATTTGGATGAGTACAATATCTTTCTAAACAATGCTCCTCTCAGCCTTCTCCTGTTCTCCCTTAAAGCTGCGTCGGACCAGGACGACCAAGAGACCGACAACAATGGCAAGCGCTGCGAATTTCGGGAAGGTATAAGGAGCGTTGGCAGATGTCATAGGCAAAGGGGTTGGAGAAGGAACAACAGCAATAGCTGAAGGTTGTGACTCTTCTTCAGAGCTCGTTTCTTTACAAGCGATCAGCACATCACAGTCTTATCGAGAAGCAGGCTGAGACCTCAGGAAACAGGTCTACAGCTCCTCGTGGCTGCTACCTTTTTCTTCAGCCTTGTCATCAGACTCCAGCTCTCCGCTCTTGACGATCTTGACAGTCTCCACAGGTCTGTCAGAACGGCCCTTGGGCACGTTCTCGATCTGAGCGACAATCTCGTAGCCCTCGAGCACTTCACCGAAGACAACGTGGCGGCCATCAAGCCAACTATCCCAGAATCGTAAGCTGGCTGTCATCGCTATACAGGATTGGCACGGACTTACGGTGTAGGAACGGTGGTGATGAAGAACTGGGAGCCGTTGGTGTCCTTGCCGGCGTTGGCCATGCTCAGCAGACCCTTGCGCGTGTGCCTCAGCTTGAAGTTCTCATCGGCGAACTTCTCACCGTAGATAGATTTTCCACCGGTACCTTTTCATAAAAGAGTCAGCATATGGCAGGGGCATTGTACACATATAACGAAGATCTTGTAGTACTGACCATCGCCACGAGTGAAGTCACCACCCTGGATCATGAAGTCCTTAATGACACGGTGGAAGGTGGATCCTTCATAGCCAAATCCCTTTTCACCAGTAGCGAGAGCACTGAATACGAGCAATGTTAGAATGGCGTAGAAGCTTCATTGACCTCGTGAAATCATACCGGAAGTTCTCAGCGGTCTAAAAAAGCAAAAGTAATATTATCAGTCTAGGAGCTTCGAGTGACAATAGCATGACGACGATCACGTACCTTAGGAACAGTCTTGCCATACAAGCCAAGCACAACTCTGCCCAGAGGCTTGTCTCCGTGCTCAATATCAAAAAACACCTGTATGTAATTGCAGTTAGTATGTCATACTTGGAAAGCAATTCACAATGGTTGTAAGCGCCGAAGATCACATCTATACATACCTTACTGGTGATCTTGGGACCCCGGGGCTGAGCCTCTTCGGCGTGGACAAGAGCAAGTCCAACCGCCAGAACGAAGAAGAAAGACAGAAAAATGTTCTTGAAGTTCATGATTGCTCAGGATGTCTCCAATGTAGGAGAAATCTAACAATTGCTTGAGAACACAGGAGACTCAAGGAGCAATCATTCGGCGAATGGAGGCCAGCTTGCATTACTGCGGAGGTGCCAAGAGCACCACAACCAGATGAGGATTAGCGTACTCTGTATATTTGCAGTTATTACATGATATTTTCATTTACCGCACCACAATAGTGGAACATTGAGGGTGTATTTGCTGTATGCGTAACTTAAAATTACCAAGAATATTTCGGAGAAACATTGTTACTGGTCGATTTCTTCCGCGCTGAACTGAGCCAAACTGCGGAGGTTGATAGAAGAATAGCGCAGCGCATAGGCATTCGGAGCCATTTCGCATCTCCTGGAGAACTGAACAAGCCAATCCGTCAAGATGGTAAGTATTAATAATATTTCAGTATAGGGATACCCTCAAATATGTGGCTAATAAGCAATCAGGTTTTCATTTTGGGCGTGAACTTCCCCGAGCGAAACCTCGTCAAGGCAAGCAACTCCGAACTTCCATCTTTCCTTCAACGCCTGGTCTGACTGAATTCAGAAATCGCTGGAGTCCTTCTTCGGCATCGGTAACTTGACCTCAACCCGTCTCCTTGCCCGCTTCCACATCCACCCAACATGCAAGGTTGGCGACTTGGCGAACAAGCAGGTCCTCGATATCACGGCCGCCTTGTCCGATATGAAGATTGAGAACGACCTCCGCAGACAGTACCTCGATAACATCAAGCGTCTGAAGGAGACGGGAACCTACCGTGGTCGGCGCCATGCGCTCGGTTTGCCCGTTCGGGGACAGCGGACGAGGAGCCAGGTTGGTTTACACCCAATTTCAAATATCTCCGACTATGATACCAGGGAGTGTTGGAGCACTTCGCTTGTGGATGTGGTCGTGGGGTACTACACAAAGCAAGAATTCTACTAACATGATTTCTAGATCAAATCTGCTGTCAAGCTCAACCGCATGGAGAGAAGACTGTGAGGTTAACATGATGATTCATTTATTGACCCCAGTGGTCTTGCGGCTTCGTTTCAGTTGGGGCATGGAATGGCGTTATAAACTTGCTTTTGTAAATTAGTGTTCTGGCTTGACCTTCTCCACCCTGGAGATGTATTTTATTTAGACAATGAAACATTGAGACTCTAAGGAGATCATAGTAGTGATTCCATGCTGCCTCTTAGAGCAATTATGTGATATATTGCAAGTAGAAACATCAGCTCGTACAGCGGCTCGTTTAATACAAAGAGTCAGAACCAAACTTTTCATCCTATAAGTATAACGCCAGAACCATATGTGCAACTCCTCTTATGCGGAAGACAATACGCCCTCACCCCGGTTGATCTGAATCCTCTTATCTTCACCGGCGCTAACAATGCCAACCGAACGGTCCCAGCACACACTGAAGACCTTGACTCCCTCTCCACCTACTCGCTTAGCATCCGCTTTACCTTGCTCTTCCAAGCTTCTCCGAGTAATCGAATACACGCTCTCGCCAACAACACCGTCCTTATCCGTCTTTGTAGCACGGATATCCCAGATTCGGCAGGTACCGTCGTGACTGCCACTGATGAGACCGTAGCTGCTGTGGGGATCGCGGGAAAGAGAAACCACGGCATTGGTGTGGCCTCTGAGGGTCATGGCGGAGATTGTTGTCGCTGACGTACGAGGGTCGATGAGAGTGATGTGGCGAGCAGAAGTACCTGTCGCAAGAAGGTGGTGCTCGGGGAGATGCTCGAGAGATAGCAACGAATGGGATGTCGATCTGGTGTCTACTAAAGCGGCCGTGACCAGATCCCATGTACGCAGAGAGTGATCCCATGAAGTAGAGTAACCGACAGTCGAGTCGTTCGTGTCAAAAATGGCAGCTGAGACTGGCGCGGTGTGGGAAGACAATAGCGCAAGCGGGCCGCGCTGCGGGGTGCTGACGGACGAGCTCACCTTTCTGCGCTTGGAGCTCTGTGACGCAGCAGACGGAACTAGGTTCTCGGGAGCAGCTGGGGCATCTGACTTCTTTGTCGACCAAAAGCCAATGTTGTGGTCTGCCGAAGCGGAGAGAATACGGTTCGAGGGGGCATGCACAGCCAACGAGTTGATACCAGATTTGTGTCCGTAGAGCTCAATCTGCGGGGTGATCTTTCCTGAGAATCCATCATCGCTTTCGTTGTATTTCCAGAGTCGAACGGTGCGATCAAGGCCAGCCGACACGATCGAATTCGGCGAGACGAACTTGGCGGCCTTGATAGACGCGCCGTGTCCCCCATCAGCCGGGGACGGTGAGGTTGCGACAATTTGAGACGACATATTCCACACACGAAGCAACCCGTCGTAACTGCCCGATAGAATCCTCTCCTGCCCCGGAGAAATGACCGCAGAAGCCCAAGAGGTAGCTGGCGAGGTCGCAGAGAGGACATCCACCGAGCCAACCCAGTCATCATGCTCGAACGAAGCAATATGGAGCGGAGGAATCAACGCTCTGATATACTCAATTTCCAGAGTAGTTTCCGCAGATATGCCATTGGCCGTCAAGTATTCATCGATCGAAGTCCGAAGGAATGCGCCATTGATCAAAAACTCAAATGGCACCGGCTTGTCGTTTCCCAAAAGATTGTTCACCAGCGTAGAAAGCGCATATCTCCGCAATCCTACAAACAAATAAAGAAGTTAGTGAGCACGTATGTGTATATAAGGCAGACTAGCAGCGATCTGCCAAAATGCATTCATACCTGTGGGAACCAGAATGGGGCCGGTGCTCTCAGGCAGCGCAATGTCTTCTTGCTTGCTAACTAGCTGCACACGCACCTGCCTCTGCGCAGACTGGGACGAGGCCGCAGCAGACGTCGAATCCTGAACGCCGTTCATAATGGCACTGAAGGGAAATATGGGGGCTATGAAGGGCGCGATCTAGAGCACTTCAAAGTGCAGTTGAGAAAACTCCACCGAGTGAAGGAAAAAAATACGGCAACCGATGCGGCCACTTGTGCAAAGCGCGGAGATTCCCCGCCGTAACATTACGTACTTGATAAGTAGAAGAGCAAGAATTTACGCCAAAGACAACAATATGTTATTTTGTTAAGTTTATATACATGCAAGTAAAGCTAACTACTATTGACCTCGTGATGCCCTTCTGATGTCCGCGATAGCCTTACGCCGGTAGTCGGATTCGGCAAAAAGAGCTTCGATCAGATCCACGACCTCGTCTGGAGAAAATTCTAGACGCAATTCGCCTTCGAGCCAAAGGAATTTGATGTCAGCAAGAGAGCTTTCCAATATATTGATAAGATACTGGAACTTCAACCAGTTTTGCACGTAGACGGCTGTCATAGGCGAACGCTCGGTGTTATCTGGGCCCTCAGGGATGAATAGATCTTCCAGCCCAGTCACTTGGTTGCAAAATGACACAAGTCGCTGTGACTGGGGCTCTGAAATGTCACCCAAATCCTCAATTTCGATTATCATCTTGCTGATGACAGTTGAAACCAATGAGCCGATCGATTGAAGAAGTGCAGACTGCGACAGGATTGGCTGCCATTCTTTGAAAACGTCGCGAATTCTGTCCACTGTTGCGCTGATTGCATTTTCGCATTCGCCTAGGAACGGTTGCTCTGAGCATTGGCTGAAGCCCTGTGCACCGTCTAGAAGGTCTGTGACAATTGTGCGTTGGGTCTGCATCTCTTTGCTGTAAGCCAGTTTTCCATATTTTTCAAGAGCTTCAATATCTGCATGAAGCCTGGCGAGCTGGTACTCCTCTGCGAGATCACGAACTTGACCGGCGAGATACAGGCTGTCGTTATATAAATACATCTGCCCAGCACTCAATTTGAGACCGTAGAACGTCGAAGCTGTGGCTTTGAACATGGCCAATATCAGAGTTGGGAGTGCGAGAAGTCCTGTTCCGGAGGAAACCACACGTGAGTGGGCATGCCTGCAACGTATTAGAATCACTATATAATTCTGACCATGAAAGACTTACGCAGGCTGGGACATGGCATTAGAGTCCACCACTTGTTGCTTGACGATACCCAGAATAGAGTCGGGGATGTCTGTGATGGTGTACTTTTCCCTCAAAGTAACCTCTCTGGGAGTGATATGGCTGGCCCCACCCTTGCCATTGACAGTTACAGGCACAACTGGTGTCTTGGGCTCTGAGACCTCGGCGTTCTGTTCTTCATCCTCGTCACCCCAGCCCCAGGCATCTCCAGCATCATCATCATTGTCCCCAGATACCGTGGCTGTGCCATTCTTCGTTTTGGGGTCATGTTCCTCAGTATCATCATCCAGCCCCCAGGCACTCACGTCTTCCTCATCGTCGAAATTACTGGGCTGCTTCCCCTTAGAACCGCTCTCATTGTCTTCTTCCCAACCAGCGTCCCAATCATCAGGTGCAGCATTCTCCAGCAGCGCTTCATCACTCCCAGAGACCTTCTCGACTTCAATTCTCTCAACCTGTTGTGTAGTGCCTTGGGAAGCAGCGAGGATTCTCCGAACTTGATCCAATGAATCAACGCGCCTTCTAGCTATCCAGAGTCGTGGAGCCTGGTTGACCCAAGAGATGAGTTCTTCTTGGCCGTGCCACTCATAACCCTCAATGTTCTTCGTGAATTTGAGGACATGATCGAGAATCTGCTCAAACTGTCCCAATCCTTCAAGATCGGTAGGAATAGCAGGTGATAGCCACAATTCAATTATCTTGGAAGACAGCGAGGGAATGAACATTTCCGAGAATGATTCCACAATAGGAGGGGGAACATATTGCTTCAAGAAGCCCAATACCTTGACCAGGCGTTCAAGCAGCTCTGGTATTGACGCCGTTGATGGCTGCGGGTCAAGGTATATCGTAGACCCTGAAACATGGCACTCATGGCTACGCCCAGTGGCTCCAGGCAGCAAGATCGGATCAATTATCTTCGATATTAATTCCTTTTGGAACCTATCCCTTGCTGAGGGGAACATCTCAAGCCTGGTCAAGGCCACGATAGTCTCGTGCAATGCATCATCTATGGAATGTGTTAGTGAGCTTGAATGGCCTGGCACTATCCAACAGAAGAATCATACCGCTGTGCTTGGAAATGGTCAGCTTTCCCTCCGTCTTATCGATATGTAGCTGTTCGTTCCAGCGGTTACGGACAGCGTCCATGATATCTTTCCGCAGCCCGGCGGCATTCTCTAGCAGTATATGTAGAACGTTTGTGTTTGTGAAATGACTGCTTCGCTTGACGGCGTGTTCAGTGGATTCCAATATGTCAATGGCAGCCATGGTGCGGCCCTCTCCGAGAGCTGCTCGTCCGCCGTCTAGTTGTTTGCAGAGCTTTTGTACTTCTGTCAGCGCACTGGTTACCGCCTGATTGAACGCGATTTCGGTCTCAATGAGGCCAACTTTCGCAGAAGCATCTTCCACTTTCAATTGCAAAGGTTGCGTTTTTTCATGTTGCTCGACGATTTCCCTCGCAGTGACTCTCGATCGTTCAATGTCTGCATGAAGCTGCTTGGCTTGTGAAATCCATCCGTCGGCATCGAAGTTGTTTTCACGACTGAGGAAGTTGATCTCGGCCTATTGGGATTTCTCATTTAGTTATACTGCCATCTGGGCTGCTACTTGTGCGGGGCTCCGCATTAAATACTACTTACTTCAACTTGCTCTCTAGCCTTCGATATCAGCTCCAATTCCTTGGCCAAGATAGAGCCAGAAAAGTCAGAGGCGACAACCTGCTCCGACCCTGGATAAGTACCATCGGTCACGAAATCCAGCACCGACTGGCCTATGTCCTGCTCCGATACCTTAGCGGACATCTTGTCAGTAAACAAGAGCCTTTGATTCTTGGTAAGCGGCGGATCAAAGACGTAAGGCAGGCCAACAGAGGAGCCACACTAAGCTCCGCTTCCCTTGTAAAGGCGATCTGCCAGGTATCGATCCCCAAAGATTACCAAGGTATCCAATGAAGCAAATCGCAACCGAAAGGGAAGGCGAGCTGTCAACACCGCCATGTGACTTCACAGCTCACCGCCTTGGCTGCGATAGGCAAGTCCACAAACGGTCTCGCTCTTCCCCACGGCCAAACTGAGACCATTTTTAAAATTTATTCTTTCTTTTTTTTTGGGTGTCTTATCTGCAGGTATATTCTTCGTTTTTTGTTCGATGAAGATTTCTTCAAACCTAGATCCGGGTTGTCTTTTCGTGAAGTGTCTGTTGGTGTGGTGAGCTCTATCGGACCGGAACCTGAACTACTCCACTCTGAACCGTTACAGTTGGAGGGTAACCTTCGTTCAGCGGCCAGCTGTGTGACCTTAAAATTCCTGAAACAATCATAACCGGCGTCAAGCAGAGCCCATCGTGTTGTCTCAGTTACTATTGAGAAGCCTGACTCGGGCAAACGCTTCTCGATCCATGTGAGTCCATGCTAGTGCCAGCCCTGAACTCCATTGAATAAAAAAAAAAAGCAAGAAAAGAGACTGCCCCTCCGTCGTTGTCTGTATTGGAACATCCAATCCCTCAACCGGCAGCCTTACATTGGCTGCCACAGTTTTGCGCAGTCATACAGCATGCTTCATGGTCTCCGTGATGTCGTATTATTACAATTTGCAGTTCCCTTATTCTTGCTATTGGTATTTCAGACATGGAATGGGTGCTTTTCCCGTTTCAGTTCCCCGCATCCCGAACCTCAAGCATTGCTAGCTTCTTCGAAATGAATAAAACTGTTATATTTGCTTCTCAGACATCTGCGTTTCTGGTCTATGGAATACTAACAGTCTTTCAGATTATCGCTACGGGGTGTGATCGCAGGATTTGGTTATAAATCACATTTCCAGAGACCATTGAGCAACATGTCATCTACCCAAAACAGCCATTTCAAGCTACTCCAGAAGTTTAAGCCGGAGTACTCGCCTAGCGAGTTTGCTCAGTATGAATCGGAGAGAACAGGCATGAGGGTAGTGGTCATTGACCAAAAAGGACCCAAAGTCACAGGTTATTTTGTTCTAGCTACTGAGATTCTCGATGACTCGGGTGCTCCTCATACATTGGAGCACTTGTGCTTCATGGGCTCTCGCAACTATAGATATAAGGGCTTCCTTGACAAGCTGGCAACACGTGTTTATTCGAGCACTAATGCCTGGACGGCCACAGATCACACCGCCTACACCTTGGACACAGCAGGCTGGGAAGGATTTGCTCAAATCTTACCCGTGTACCTAGAGCATGTTATAGCTCCAACACTGACAGATGAAGGGTGCTATACCGAAGTGCATCATATTGATGGCTCCGGTGACGACGCCGGAGTCGTCTACTCGGAGATGCAGGGTGTGCAGAATAATTCTGCAGAGTTAATCGATCTAACCGCTCGTCGATTGACTTACCCGCATGGTGTAGGCTTCCGCTACGAGACGGGCGGTATGATGGAGCAGCTCCGTGTACTTACCGCGGATCGTATCCGAGCGTTCCATCGTGAGATGTACCAGCCCAAGAACTTATGCCTGATTATCACAGGCGAAGTAGATCACCAAAACATGCTGGAGACCTTGGACAGATTTGAAGATACTATTCTAGATGTCATCCCCAGTCCTGATTCACCTTTCAAGAGACCGTGGGTAGATTCCAAGCAGGCGCCGCCATTGGAGAAGTCCATTGTCCAGACTGTGGAATTCCCGGAAGAAGATGAATCGTTTGGAGAGATAGAGATTAGATTCCTCGGTCCGGACTGTACCGATCCTGTTCAAAGTGAGTGTTTCGCGATTTCCATCATTTTGAAGTGATACTTACACTGTAATAGCCGGGGCTGTTAATGTTGCATTGTTGTATTTGGCCGGTTCATCTGCTTCCCTTTTGGACAATATCTTGGTTGAGAAGGAGCAGCTCGCCAGTGCTGTTTATTATGCTACCGAAGATCACCCCAGTATTGAGATCCGCTTCACTTTAACCAGTGTGGAGACAGAGAAACTGGCGAAGGTAGAGCAACGCTTTTTCGAAGTGCTCAAGGATGCTATGGAGAAGGAATTGGATATGAGGTATATCAAGGAGTGCATTGACCGGCAAAGGCGGACCTGGAAGTTCTCTACTGAAAGCTCCGCTTCTTCCTTTGCGGAGTACGTGATCTCGGATTTCCTTTTCGGAAAGAGGGACGGATCGACTATGCTTGATGTTGCGACCTTGCAAGAATATGACGTGTTGGAGAAGTGGAGTGAAGCACAATGGCGCACTTTCATCAAGACGTGGATTTCTGATGCCAACCATGTCACTATCCTGGGTGTCCCGTCCGTCAAGATGTCTGACACACTGAAGAAGGAAGAAGAGGCTAGAGTCGCAGAGCAAAAGAAGCGCCTGGGTGAGGAAGGGCTGAAGAAGCTGGCCGACAAGCTGGAGAAAGCTAAAGCTGAAAATGACAAGGAGATCCCCAAGGAGATGCTGGAGAGGTTCCAGATTCCCGGGATAGAGTCTATCCATTTCGTGGACACTACTACAGCCAGGTCCGGTGCTGCCCTGGATGCCGGACGCCCGTCCCACAAGGCGCAAAAACTGGTGGATGCTGATGGATCCGATCTGCCCTTGTTCATCCATTTTGAGCATATCCCCAGTAGCTTCGTGCAGCTCTCCCTCCTCATCTCGGCGCAGGCCGTACCTGTGCAGCTTCGCCCGTTGCTGTCTGTGTATACCGAGGCGTTTTTCAACCTGCCTGTCAACCGGAACGGGGAAACCATCAACTTTGAGCAGGTGGTTGTGGAATTGGAAAGGGACACAGTTGGCTACTCCATGGAAGGAGCCAGAAGCCTAGGAAACTCGGAGATGCTGCGGATCTCATTCCAGGTGGAGCTTGAGAAGTATCATACGGCGATTGCATGGATCCAGGAGCTTTCATGGAACTCGATCTTCGATGTCGAGCGACTCCGGGCGATTACCAGCCGACTTCTTTCCGATGTGCCCGATTCCAAGCGTAGTGGCGATGACATGCTCGCGGCTGTTCATGTGATGGTCCACTACGCGGCAGAGTCTATTGTTCGGGCTCGGAGCACCTTGGTGAAGGCGCGTTACTTGAAACGGATCAAGAAGCAACTGGCAGAAGAGCCGAAGTCTGTCGTTGCGCGGATGGAAGAGATCAGAGACGCGCTTTTCCGTTTCGAGAACATGCGAGTCTTGGTCATCGCTGACCTGGAGAAACTTCAAAACCCTGTGTCAGCATGGAAACCATTTGCTGAGCGTTTGGGTGCAGGTGCCCCTCTGCAGCCTATCACGGCCAGAAGACCGTTGCTCAGTGAGGCTGGTCAGAAGTTGGGCGGCAAGTCGTATGTGGTCCCTATGCCGACGATTGATTCATCGTTCGCTTATGCAACTGCGCGGGGTCTGGATTCGTATGATGATCCAAGACTTCCTGCCTTGATGGTTGCAATCGCATACATGAATGCGGTCGAGGGACCCCTTTGGGTTGCGGTTCGAGGCAAGGGTTTGGCATATGGCACGAACTTCGCCTACAACATCGACACCGGATTCGTCAACTTTGACGTTTATCGCTCTCCCAACGCCCATAAGGCCTTCGACTCAAGCAAGCAGATTGTTGAGGATCATCTCTCTGGTGCGATGCCGTTCGATCCTTTGATGCTGGAGGGCTCCATCAGCAGCATTGTGGTTAGCTTTGCAAATGAACAGTCGACCATTGGTGCCGCGGCCTCAGGCAGTTTCATTCGACAGGTGATCCGGCGCCTACCAAGCGACTACAAAGAGCGGGTGCTCAAGCAGGTGCGGGCTACTAGCGTTGATGACGTGAAGGGCGCTCTGAAGAGCATCATTCTGCCTTTGTTCAACCCATCCACGGCGAATATCGTGGTTACCTGCGCTACGGTCCTCGAGGAGGTTTGTCTTTCCCGAAATTATCATTTACTCGTGTGTCATATACTAACTGTCGGCTTAGACTATCAAGGAAGGTCTCCAGGCATCGGGATTCACGCCCGCGGTGCAGCCACTGAAAGAGTTTGAAGATGACTATGGACTAAAGGTCGGCGATGACGAGGACGAGGAGTCTGACGATGATGAAGATGATGATGATGAGTACGAAACCGGATCTGAAGATGAAGACGACAGCGATGAAGACATGGAGGATGACGAAGATGATGAGTGATGCAATCCACACGACGACCACTAGACATGACAGGATATATTTGAGCCAATTCCCAGATAGCACCTAGATCGAAAGATCAGCCACCTCTGTTGGGGGACACTGAAAGTCTGGGACGAATATGCCGACCCGTGTGATCTGTATTGTTAGAAATGTTTTCCAGCTGAGCAGACACGCAAATGATTTTTGGAGTTAATGATATATTGTTCAACCTAAGTGCCGGTCAGTGACCAGAGACTTGGACCTAAACCGAATGCTGTAGTTTATTGACACCTACCAGACCTTGGCAGGTATACTTTGCCAGTACTTCACGAAGATGCTTTCGTTCCTCTCCATTCTCCTTGCCTGTTGTAGTAGACAGTGCTGGCAGATGCTTTTGCGTTCAGTTCCACTACTAAAGTTTTACTGGTACTTGGAACTTACCAAGTCTCATAGGTGACATGACCAGTTCTTCACTGCTTCAAGCATTATGTACCAGACGGCTTCTATCTCCCGATCTTTGTGAGAGGAATATAGCTAAGTAAACTTGGTTGTTTGACCTACACCCTGTCCACCACACTCCAAGTAAATAAACCAAACCACGTGACAATGAGATATCTATGTATAAATATGTATATGGTACACATAGGACAACGTCCTATTGATGGTAGCTAGATAGAACCCCTAGAATCATACCACCCCCATCCCAGTAACGCGAAGGATACCCTCCCTGACGCGAGCAAGGTCCGCTCGGCATATCCCAAGCTGAATCTCCTCATGTCAACCTACTCTGAGGGTCACAGAGCACAAGACGCATCACCGAACTTCCCCATAAGTAAAGTAAATCCAGATACCGCAAAAATCAAAGAGCAATAAACATCATAGTACACAGCCCACACACAATATGAGATTGAACAAAAATCAAGGAACCCATCACCACCAAACAACGCATTCCAATCTACCAGCTCAGCGACTTCCGCCCCCTAGCCCTTCTCCGCAACAGAATCTTCCGTCCACCTCGCGAGCGCAACCGAGCCAAGAATCCGTGACGGCGCTTCTGCACCCTCCGGGAGGGGTTGTAAGTATCGCGCTTTCCGCCCAACGAGGCACTAGCGGAGAAGGAGCGGGTCTGTTGGTTTGCGAAGGAGTTGTTGGTGGAGAGCAGAGAGCGGATAGTAGTGGTGGAAGAAGAGGTAATGAGGCTCTGGGAGGGGAGATGTTGTTGAGGGAGGCGGAGCGAGGAGAGGGTCGTGGAGGAGAGGGCACGGAACGGTGTTGATAGAGAGGTTGCGGTGGATGTGAGCGGTGCGGAGGTGAGTCTAGTGGATCGATTCAAGTCAGACATTTCGTTCATCAATACCGTTGAGTGTCTAAAGTGCCAGAGCTTCCCCTGGCGATTTGCTTGTCCCGATTGAGGAATCGGACCATATACAGAGCCCAGATGCGTGGTCTCATTGGATCCAGGGTGCCAGACTCGGACGGACGTACCTGGTTGCTGGGGCCGCAAAGGACCTGAAAGCGGTCGGCAGAGCCGTACACCGAAGGCAAAGCATATTGATGAGAAGGTTGAAGACGAGGGTGAGACGTTATTGGACCTCGCTGGCGCGGAAACCTGGGGACGGCGATGGAGGGATGCGAGATGTTGTCCGTGACGGCGGACTGAAAATTGAACTCCGGCGCCGCAGTGCACGGACCACCTCCGACTTTTTCTCTCCGCCGGACGATGCAAGAGCGCATCTACAGTTCTCCATATCTGCTCAATTGGTGCAATAAACAGGCAATAACGAAATAAACCGGATCTACCTACTTTGACGCAACTGAGTGCGGACATATTCTATCATTACTCAACGAATAACTCTTCCCGACATTTGGGAAGTCACTACTCCGATAACAACCTTTACATATACTTGAACACTTCTGCGACAAGTCGAGAAACAATCTCACTACATACCACAATGGCCACCCAGGGTCCCTCTCCGCTACCCCCTACAACCATCCTCTCTTCCAAGCCTATCTCCCAGGCTGCCGCGCACGATTTCCTAGCCGCCTATCTCGATCGCGCCGCCACAGACCCCGCCCTTCAACCTAATGCCGGTATCAGCGAACATGGCCCGACCTCGCGCACCACGGCTGCCGCACCCAACCTCATTTTGCACAACCTGAAGCGCGTTCAGGCTGGTCTTGCTGGCGAGGTTCTAGGCAGGGACCTGGCTCTTGCGAAGCTCAGCGCTGGAGAGGAGGGCAACGCGCAGCAGACAGAGGCCGGAAATGAGGGGTGGGAGGACCCGAAGAAGCTTCAAGAGGAGGTTGTTGCTGCCGATGATGATGACGATGTCCGGATGGATATGGATGCTGTTGAGACAGAGCAGAACGCCGAGACCGCTGCGGGTCTCGATAAAGAGGAAAGGAAGCGGAAGAAGAAGGAGCGCAGACTTGCAGAGAAGAGGGCAAAGGCCAAGTCGGACGCTTGAGTAGGAAATAAAAGCGAAAGAAAAGTTACTGTTTTGCGCGCAGGTTTTGCTATGGGTTGCATCAGCTTTGCTACGGGATTTGTTTTTCTGCTGTTTGTCTTGGATTCCCAAGATATATTAGACTTGTGCATATTGCATTGGCGCATTCAAGGCGAAACTAATTCATTGGAAGACAATTACGATTGGTTTATTATAACCGGTGATAAGAACTCAAAAATCCATTAACAATTGATTATGCCTTCAGAAGCCCATATCCGGCGGGCCTTTCCTCTCAAGCGGCCCTGTAACACCATACCAGAAAAAGAAAGGAGACACTAGAATGTCAACTTTTCACAGCTCGCGGTCAGCCGCCTTAACTGGCGTCTCACTATCCTCCTCCTTGAGGGCGGTAACCTTTCCACCCTTCCAACCGAGCGCCTTGAGTCTCTCGGAAAGAATAGGGTGAGAGTAGTGGTAGCTTGCGTACATCCAGTCAGCGTCCATGGTGCTCAAGTTCTGGATCTGTAGCTTAAGAAGGGATTGTGCCAGCTGCTCAGAATAACCGAGACCGACAGCAAAGGCATCTTGATGGTTTGATTAGTATTGTATCATAATCACGGTTTTGAGTTAAGGGTCTTGAAAGCTTACCAGCTTCGAATTCGAACTTGCGACTGAGGATGTTCATCAGAAGCTTGACAACAGCATCCATCGGTGCGAGAGCATCCGAGAACAAGAGGAATCCGATCATGATGGGCTGTTGGCTATAGAAGCCGAACGACTGATACAAAGACTTGTTGCTCACGAATGCAGAGAAGAGCGCGAAAATGTAAAACATATGGAACTAGTACAAGTCAGCCTGTCGTTATACTATTTCGACCACTCATAAGGAAGTGGTTGGTCTGCTTTGTGACCCAGGAACATACCTGAGCAATACCGAAAAGCTTTGTGGTGTGGCTGAGACTCCAATGACCCAGTTCATGGCTCAGGACTGCAACAACCTCCTCAGGCTCACTCTTCTCAATCAAAGTATCGTAGATGACAATGTGCTTCTTCCAAGGGAGACCATAGAAGTAGGCGTTGCTGTGTGCGCTCCGCTTGCTGCCGTCAATGACATGCAGCTCTTGAAGAGGGAACTTAAGCTTCTTAGCGAGGTTTTCGACACCGGTCTTGATGGCACCAGGCTCAAGGGGCGACAATTTGTTGAACAAGGGCAGGATGACAATAGGGTAGATGGTGATAGCGAAGATCTGGAGGAAGACGCCAAAGAGCCACAGGTAGTAGAAGAAGGAGTTGCCGGTCTTCTGAATAATCTTGAGAACTGCGCTAATAATGGGTGTTCCAAGTACGATACCAAGCATCTGTCCCTTGAGCAAGTCCGTAACCCAGAGACTGAAAGTCTGCTTGTTGAAACCAAACTTCTCCTCGAGGACGAAAGTATTGTAGTACGAGATGGGAAGAGAAAGAACCGTGCTGATCAGATTGAATCCGAAGACAAATAGCAGCGTCTGCGATATTTCACCTTGGAACCGAGAAGGAAAGTATTGTGCCAACAGGAGACCGCTGACTCCCCAAAGCTTGGGGAGAATGTCGCCATAGATGAAAGCAAGATTTTGAATTTGACCGTAAAGACCTGCAACAAGACCGAACTTGGCTTTGGCGCGACCGTAGGACTAATGAGCCCGGAAACATCTGATCAGTATGATGTGGTTGCTGAGTTCTTGTAGAGATGCTTACCTGACTCTGATCGAAAACCTTCTGGGAAACCTCGCCCGCCAATACTTGCGGGGGCTTGGTCCGTTGCAGCACTTTGTACTGACGGAGAGACAGAAAGCCCTCCAAAAGAAATTGGCCTAGAGAAAATCCGACGAGGACATTCTTCCAGGGGATGAATGGGCGGTCGAGGAAACGCGCCAGTTGCTGTAACGGCCACGATGACCCGAGTTAGCTGGAGCTTCAAGCTTAGAAGGGGAGACCAGATGAACTTCTGGTATGGTGAGGAAGAGGTCTGTACGGGAACTTTACCTCGAGGATATACATTGCGACACCCGCAGCACAACAGCAGCCTGAAATTGAGCCTGCTGTGATGTGGCCTTTTGGTTGCGGACAAAGCAATGAATGGGGGAGTAAGAGAATAGTTAAAAGAGGAGCTGGTCCGCGCCTTAGTCAACCGCCGCGGTAGCCTCGGAGGCAAGGCCGCAGCAGAACAAACAACTCCTTCATTCAGCTCCTCCCCATTTATGCTTGTTTTCAATAGCGGCGTATTGGACATCAAAGAAATTCTGACTTTTATTTCGTTGCGTTCATCATTCCCCTATACAGCATCTACATAGAGCCATGCAAGCCGGACCGAATAATAAGAATGAACAAAAAAAGAAAAAAATTGTAAGAAATATTTTCCACAAGCGTCGTAACACACGTCAAAGAAGTGGTCTGCGCAACTCCAGCCATGCCACCTGATCTTCTAAAATGCCTTCCCATCCTGCTGCTTGCCTGGCCTCCTCGATCCTGCGAACATTTCAACTGGTTATCGTGGAAGATACTCACGATCTCCTGTTCTTCGCAATCATCAGCAGGTGGAATAGGCGACGATTAGGCTCCCTGTGGTCTCTAATCAGGGAGTTAACTGACACCCCCTTTCGCTACTGCAAACCATTCTACTTCATTCGTGACTTGACCCTGCCAAGACTTGGTGTCAGAGACTCTTTGACGTCCCCACCAGCCGTAATCTGGTGGATACAAGCCTGGCCATCCAAGCGGGCAATAACTTCTTTAGTTCAGAATGGGCTCGAGGGTGTTACCACTATGGCCAAAGTTAGTATCACGTCATTATCTCACCTCAGGGAAGAAATCTTGGAGAGTATAAGGGGCGGAGCTTTAAACTTACGCGACAATGTTGGCCCAACCGATCAGACGCCAGTGCTTCTCAATTCTCCGACTGATGGCGATCTTCTCTCCGACCTCGGTACAAGCAGGGCTGGTCAAGCTGAGCTTGGCGGCATCAGCCTTGACACCCACGACCTTAGCACCAGTGGCCGTAGAACCAATGTTAACCATGAGAACTTCGTTCTTAGTAAGCTTGGCAACCTTGGCCTGCTTGCCATCGGCGGTCTTGACACCGAGCAGACGACGAAGCAAGAAGTAGTTAACTTCCAGCTCGGTGTAGATAGCGGGAAGGCGTCCACGGTGACCAAGGACGAAACCAACGAGACGATCAGCACGGCACAGAGTAGGGTCCACGCGAGTACCGACACCAATCAAACCACCAGGGACGGCAAACTTAAGGTCGTTGTGCTCGGCAAAGAGGGACATGACCCGAGAGAAGATGGGACGGCACTGAATCTTGCCGTTCTCGTCCTTGGTGACCAGACCGGGGCGAATCTCAATCTCGTCGTTCTGCTTCAAAACACCAGTCAAGATGGAACCACCGGCAACACCACCCTTCAGCTCCTCGATCTCGGCACCGGGCTTGTTCACATCGAAGGAACGAATGACGATCATGTGAGGGGAAGCGGTGAAATCGCGGACGGGGACCGGAATGTGCGAAACCAGGTATTCGTTGACAGCATCAATGTTGTACTTAAGCTGTGCAGAGATGGGAATGATCGGAGAGCCATCGGCGACGGTACCACGGATGAACTTCAGAATCGACTGGTAATGTTGCAGGGCACCATCCTCTCTCATCAAGTCCACCTTGTTCTGCAGAATGATAATGTGGCTGAGCTTCATAATTTCGATGGCGGCCAAGTGCTCCGAAGTCTGAGGTTGAGGGCAAGTTTCGTTTCCGGCAATAAGGAGAAGGGCAGCGTCCATGACGGCAGCACCAGACAACATAGTACTCATCAGAATATCGTGACCGGGGCAGTCGACGAAACTAATTTGGATCTCCGAGTTAGCATAGAATATCTTGACTACACATTATTCTGAGGTTCAACGTACGACACATGTCTCAACAGTCTGTAGCGGCCACTGCAGCCATCCCTCTCACAAGGCGGGTCGACTTCCTTCTCACTCTTGAAGCTCTTGAAGCATGTCGGCCTAGGGCACTCGGGGTTGTCGCACTTGTAGATCTTCGCGTTGGCATAACCCAGCTTGATCGTAATGTTTCGCTCCAGCTCGTTCTTGAAACGGACAGTCTGGACCTCGGAGATAGCCTTAACGACTGTCGACTTGCCGTGAGCGACGTGACCGATGGTGCCAATGTTGATTGTGGCTTGGCGCGCAATAATTTCGGGGGTCAAAGGAGTCAGCGTGGACAGGTCCAGAGTCTCCGGGTTCGGCTGTTCGGGCAGCTCTGGCCGCTTAGGCTGGGGAGGAGGAACCGCCTTCTTCATCGCAGACTTCAGAGGCTTGGACTCCTGGTCGAGGGGCTCTTGCTCTTCGATGTCATCGTGACCGTTCGCATCGAGCATGGGGGATCCAGGCTGGGACTCGTCGTCAGAGAAGTCGCCGTTGGCAGCCATGATTGCTAGTGAAATCGAGAGACAACAGCGGTTCTAGAAAAGGGGGGTATTGGGGGGTGGAGAGGGCGAGGGGCGAGGGTCGTGTTGTCTGATGAAAATTGCTGCTTGAGGACGGAGGCGATATGATACGGTTCGGCCAGTGGGGTTGTGATTTGTGCAGTGGAGAGCGAGTGGGCGGTGGGCGGCGGCAGGATTTATACTGACTCACCTCTTTGCCAAAAATGAACTTCACTTTCTCAGTCGTTCGACTCGCACCTACTTAAATCAATGCTGAAAGATATTCACCGTCTAGTATTGATGCCCATGCTTATACTTGTGGATCTAAAGTGGAAATGAGAATACGAATTTTTCGACCTGTGTGTGACCAATATGGCATACAGGGGCTCGTACAGACGTCAAAAGCGACTGACCACGAAGCAGTGAAGGGTCCAGAAGTTCGTATGGGACGTCTAAATGTGACTATTTATAACGTAGGGGAAGTTGTGGGGGAGCGATACGGGAAGCACCTCTAGATAATGAAAGACTGCAATGGTATGATTTTACACATCCGTTTGCCTATCAACAAGGGTTGGGTATATACAGTAAGACAATCATCAAATAGGCAGTAAACCTATTCTTCATCGCTCTCTTCGCTGGAGGATTCATCCTGGCTCACTTCTTCATCATAGTCCTCTTCCGAATCCTCTAGCGTCGAAGGATCTTCAGGAGCCAGCATCACAAATGCTTTGAGGCAGGTGATCCGGTTGCCTGTGCCATAAGCATTCAAGAACTTACCAACTTGAATTTCTTTCTTCTCTGTCTCGGCGGACTTCTTTTTGGTACCTTTTGTATCCTTCTTGACCAGATCGGCTCCTTGCAGCAGCCAAACACGAACCAAGCCCTCACTATTTCCTGTTACTACCAGATGGTTATCCTTTCCAGCAACCCGTTGACCATTTAGGTCAAGGACCTCGAAGTCCTTCACTCTTCCGGGGAAGCCTGCTGCTCTACCGCCGAGCTGGGCAACAGCTTCCGCATAAGGAATGGGTGAATCATCCTCCTCTGTCGCCTCTTGAACCTGCTTAGTAGAGTAGAAAATGACCCTACCATCTTCCGTCGAGACAGCAAGCAATTCATCGCTGTCATCGGAGGAAGGTGTTGGGTTGATGTACTTCATCTGGTGAAGCTTACTCCGAGGGCTGGGGAAAACCCTGCAAATGGGAGTGGAGTCCTGTAGACTATGTTTAAAAATGGCCCTTGCAATGGGGGATATGCAACATCAAACTTACAATTCCGAAGACAACTGCACCCCACTCGAATGCCACAGCAAACTCATCACCCTTCGAGTTCCACACTATCTTCCTTCCTTCTCCAGTGCTCCATTTGCCCTCCTTGACGCTTTGCAAAATCTCTCGGTTGAAGTTCAACACGCCAGCCTTTTTCCCTGTGACAAGGTTCCAGAGCCTCATGCACTTTTCTCCCTTGCCCACACTCAGCATCAGTTTCATACTAGGATGGACAGCGATATCATTGACACCAGACGGGGTGCCTCCCGGGGGTGCTGTGTCACCGCTTGGCCTACCCTGAACTTTCGGACGAGGGGCCTTGATGGTGGATACAACGGAGAAATCACGAGTTCTAGTAACGGAGATTGTATTATCCTCAGAACCAACAAGGATCTTTGATCGGGAGGGAAATTCCAAAGCCGAAATCGGAGCGGAGTGATGCATCAGTGTGCCCAGCTCGCGGTTTTTGGGATTCTCAAGGATTTTGTTGCCCGCGAGAGTCGGTACGGTGGGATATAAGTCATTCACTGCAACAGGAGCAGCAGACAGAGAGTAAAGATTAACACGCTCATCCGTAGCACCAGTGGCTAGGATAACTTGAGCGTTTTCTGTTGCATCAGCCTTCGGCAACGGTGACAAGGCGAGACAGCGAATGGCAGAGGTATGAGCCTCAAACAGGAAAGTATCCACAAATTGTACAAGATTGGACTTATCACCATCTTCATCCGTATCCTTAGATTCAAAAAAGGTAGGCGAAACAGCCGCGGTGAAGCCGTGCAGAACCTTTTCGTAGGAACCGGTGATAATTTGCAGCGTAATTGACGGACCGTCAGCCGTTGAGGTGGAAGGGGCCTTTTCACTGTCTGTAGACTTGACAACCTTGGCTGGCTGCGTAGAGCTCTGGCGGTCCTTGGCCGCCTCGTCTCTCTTTCTCTTTACCATGATTGTGGTCTTTTTAAAAAAAAATGGAATCGGTGTGGAATGTGTTTGCTTCTGCAGACTAACTATCAAAGACCATCTATCTGAGCGGGCAACTTTTTTTTTCTGCCGGACGTTATCATCGAGTCGGGGCGGTGAGACGCGTCTTTCCGAGCCATTAGTGCCTAAGGTGTCCAGCGGGTCTGAATGCGGCAATCACTCGGGTGAGCGCGAGAGAAAACAACAAGGGAGCAACAACAGAAAACTGCGAAAGGAAGCCGCCGGCGCTACGTACTTCCTTTGCTGCCTCAGGCCTTCATTTTTCTGGTGGCCAGCCATTCAGCGGTTCACATCATACCTACATAAGGAACAGGCATGGAATGGTGGACTATCGCCCCTAGTAAGGAATCTAAGGAATAGCTAGGGGACTCCTACCCGCCTACTACCACCCATCGCAGTACCAACACCCAGACCTGGCGCTCTCTGCTGCTCCCGGCACTCACCCAGAATCCTCCAACCAACCAACCAAAGTTCCTCCCATACTACCCGTCCAGAAGTCTCATCACCACTAACACCCCCCAAAAAATCCCTTCCCAGCGAAATCTTCGCGTCGTGTCCTCTGCATCCCATAACAACACAACCCCATCCTTTTCATCATTTCTGAGCGATTTTTTCCATCTGGATGACTTCGCTCAATCCACTCCCCTTAATTTTAGCGCGTTAATCGGATGCTGTGTTCCCCGAAATAGACTCCATGCTCCGTGACGAGCTTCTCCGGTCTAAGAAAGATGAGATCGCGTACGTATTTTATTTTTCCCAGCGATCCATTCTACTCCCCTGGTCCTTGCGATATTGAATTATCGCTTACTTGGAATTATAGACGTTGTTTGTCGTCGCGGAAGCGCAAACTGAGCGAGCTCTACTTTGCGACCGTAGGCTTCGCGGGCGCGACCGAGAACGCTCCGGCGGACTCGCTCTATCACCACAAGGAACAGGCGTTCCTCGACGCCAACGACCTCTCAAAGTAAGTCGCCCATGTCAAAGTCACTCATATAGCTATTGTTTCATATGTCCAAACTATTTCCCATTTATTTATCTGCCCCATTTCGTGGGATTTCAACTAATTTCATGTATCTCCACCTTTACTGAGGAGCATACGTTAACTGTTTTCAGAGGTCGTTATTTCAATCCAGCTACACTCCCACCATTACCAGACTATGCGTCCATTTTAGCGCGCAAAGCCAGGGAAGCAGAGGAGACAGCTGCGGCGACACGATCGGTGCCAGCGGAATTGACTGCTAAATCTCACGATGCTACGGCCTCCGTCCCGCAATTGGGAGCCCAGAGTGCTGCTGCGCAGGCTATTGCCAATGATGTTGAGCGCCAGCCGAAGTATCAGAAAGTAACAGAACAGAGACCTTCTGATCATGAGCCTGAGCACCGAGTGACAACTAGTCAAGTCGCGCCTGCTATCGCATCTCAGGTGTCCCAAGTGCCTGATGTTTCGGCTCCTGCAATAGCGCATCCCGCGCAGCCATCAGCTACTGACAACAAGATGTCTACAGTGACAACGGAAGCACATCCAAAGGTCTATAGCAATGGCATCGCCGAAGGTAGTGCATCCCCAGCCCAGGCACAGCCAAAGCCCAATGTGGATGCCCGGCCATCTGGAACTCCAGACCTTCCGTCCGCTCAAAGGAAGGATGGTATACGGCCTTCCCTCGCTCAGGGCCGGCCCGCCCAGGTTCCTGAGCAGCCACTCTCCCCTGTTTCTTCAGCTGGGCCTTATTCCAATAATACCCCGGTGCCAGTCCCCGTTTCACCTGCTACCAGCCCTGCGGAGGAGATGAATGATGCGCCCCACAAGATTCCAAGCCCCAAAGATGAAGAGGCAGTCAAGGCACCGCCTAGCTTGGTGCCTTCCACACCTGATGAGCAACTTCGCCTGGAAGAGGCTCAATCACTCCAACAGAGCAATCTGGCTGCGGTTAAGACAAGTGCGGACGAGGTTGACGGAGGCACTGTCACGAGCGAGGTCATCCAGGAAAATGTTGTGACGTCGCCGGCTGACGTCAAAGAAACGCCGAAAGAAACGCCCGAGCTGGCACCGGCTCTTCCGTCAGTCGATCATAAGAGGCCTGACGGAGTTATTGAGACAACCGATGAGTTACGGCCTTCCACACAAGCCGGGTCTGCACCTCAAGCTGAGGCCAGCAGCGAGGTGCCTATGGAAACAGCTCCAGTGCTAAAGAAACCGACGCCCCCAGCCCATCCGGTACCGTCTCCACCAGAAAGAATGACAACAAGGGTCTCCTCTGGCGCTATCAGACACAAATCTGTTTCCGAGATTCTGGGAGAACCTCCAAAGACGCCCGTCTCGCCTTCGGACAAGGGAACTCTGCCCGAGAAGCCTACAGAATCAGCACGGGATGTGTCCACTGCGACCCCTGACTCTGCAGCCAGGATGCGGTTTAAAGATCGGAAAGCGCGTGAGAAAGAGAGGACTAAATTGTCTACCGTCGTATTCCCAAAGCAGCAACAACAACCACAGATCCAAGAGAAAAGCGAGTCTATGGAATTGGTCCGGCAACACGCTGGTGATCTTGCCAAGATCAATGAAGAACAAGACTATCTTTTCACCCTCTTCCAGAATCGAGCATACGCACCTCCCCGGGGCACAAGTCTCAGCACACTTCTCGCATCAGCCCACAAGACCTTAACTACTTCCAACCACTTCCTTGATTACCAGGAACAAATGGATTGTCGTACCTTGCGCCGGATCTATTCCCTCCAAAATGCGAATCGATGGCCCTTGCGCCAGTTGAAACGTTCAGTTGAACCACCTCGAGAGGCAACACATTGGGATGTTCTTCTGGATCATGTAAAGTGGATGCGCACTGATTTCCGTGAAGAGCGGAAGTGGAAGATTGCAGCTGCAAAAAGCTGTGCTGACTGGTGTGCGGAGTATGTTAACAGTGACCCCGAGCATCGGTCACTGCTCCGCATTCAAGTAAAGACCCCATCACTGAAGATTGAAGCTAAATCCAGCATGATTTCGCCACCTGAAGAAGCAGGTGATGAAATGGCGGCAATATCTCACCCTACACCAGATCTAGTGCCCTCCACCGAGGAGGATTCTGTTAGTGAAGGATTCAACGATGAGCCGCGCCACGATCTTCATGACACAGTTGCACCAGCTGCGATCTTCTCCCTTGGTACCGACGAGTTCACGTTCTCACTGGACATGACGGCGGCAGCTCGAGAGATCCTTGATAATCTGCCAACATACACACCTGTCACTATTTCTCCAGACACGAACTTGCCTGCATTCAAAGAGCCACCGGACTCTGTATGGAAAACCGAGATCCTGCCCGTTTCGAAATACGCGTCGGGCAAAATCACTTTCCATGACGACGAACCACCTCCCAAGCGTAGCCGCTACGACTACTCACAGTACCAATCAGATCCCGAGCAAGCCGTGCTGGATTTGCCGCCAGAACAAACCAATGTCGCATTGTTCCGACCTGAAAACAGACATATACGTGATAGAATTCATCCAGGTCATTCATTTCGCCCCCCGACTGAGCATCCTATGCCCTCCGTTGGCTTCTTTGAATCTAGACAGTCGTCTCAGTGGACATATGCAGAGGATGATGAGCTACGGCGCTTAGTCAAGGAGTACTCATACAATTGGTCTCTTATCTCCAACTGTCTCACACCGTCATCACAGTTTACATCAGGAGCAGAAAGGCGGACCCCCTGGGAATGCTTTGAACGCTGGGTCGGTTTGGAAGGCTTGCCAGCCGACATGTTTAAGACACAGTATTTCCGTGCTTATCACCAAAGGCTTGAGGCGGCACAGCGAACTGTACTAGCGCAACAACAAGCGGCCCAGCAACAACAACAGCAGCAGCAGCAGCAACAACAGCAACAACAGCAACAACAGGGCAACAACAGCAATCCGCAGTCAGTACCCCAAGTTCGAAGGCGGACGACGCAACCTGTCAGGGTCGATCGCAAGAGATCCTCTAAGCACCTTGCATTGCTTGATGCCATGCGTAAACTGGCTAAGAAGCGAGAGACCATGCTCCAGAAGCAGCAACATGGTAAGATGTGGAACAGCATATTCACTTTGGCTATTGCTAACTGCTTTGATTCCCTATAGCCTCGCACTTGGCATCGTTACGGAAAGTTAACGAAGCAAATCAACCGAAACCTCCAATTACGTCGCCCGCTGAATTCAGCCGACTCAAGTACGAGCGTGAATTGAAGCTTCAGGAGCGGCAAGAACAATACCGGCAGCAAATGATTGCCCAGCAAAGAGTATGACCGTGTTTCTCTTTTCGTGCACTCTATTCTTGACTAACATCTATGCTTAAGGCGAACCTAGCAGCCCAACGTGCCGGGCAAATACCTAACCAGCAGCCGATGATGAATGCCCCAGGACGCACTCCTGGCGGCCTGCCTCATAACCCTGGAACTTCTGCTATGACCGGCAACACTGCAAATGGCCTTCCGAATGCGTTGCCTAACGGGCTGCCCAATGGGTTGCCCCCCGGAGTTGGTGCTAACCAAGCACGTCCCCATATGCAGGGTATGCCCAACGCTACACCTGTGAATGGACCCATGCCATCAAATCCAATGGCGATGAAGATGATGCCACAGTCGGGAATCCAACAGAACAATGGTGCCCGCCCTGGGATGCCCATGCAGACACCTCCTGATAATACGCGTGTTATGCGGGAGGCGAATCGGCTTCAAGAGCAACAACGGATCCTCCAGACCAGACAGCAGGCCCAGCCACAACAACATCCTCATCAACAGCAGGCTCAGCCCCAACAGCCACAGCAGCAATTCCATAATCAACAGCAGTTTGTGCCTCAAGGATCCCACTCTCCGAATTTGAATATGCCGAACGTCAACGGCACTCCAAACAACCCTGCGATGATGGCCGCGCTGCAGGCTGGAGGTGGAATGCAAAGCCCATCCTTTCACAATACTACCCCACAGGGAGTGTCTACGCCCTCTCCCCGCATGGCTCAACCCAATCTCCTCTCCGGTGGTGTGGTCCCAACTATCAGCACCATCCAAAGCCAAATCCAGCGGAGCAACCCGAACATGCCTCCGGAGCAGGTTAGCAAGCTTGCTACGGATCGGTTGCATCAGTATCAACAGCAGCGCATGTCTCAAGTTGCCATGAATGCTGCTGCTGGAAATATCGGCAGCGTGCAAGCCAATTACCAAATTCCCCACGAGGCCAGTTTCCAGTCCCCGCAGCCGGGTTTGAATGGTGCGCCTGGTATGCAAGTACCTCAGGCTCAAGGATATTCCCCCATGATGCGTGTTCCCCAACCTGCCCAGCAAAATCGTGTCGGTGTAGGGAGCTCCCCTGCTATGAACGGAGCGGTTCCTCAGCCGAGCCGGAGTGTGACGCCGCAAACCCAGCGCAGTGGCAGTGCCCAGGCTGGCGCAGTGGCCGGGACAAGCAAGAGTCCTAACCCTCCGCAGGCTCAGACAGCGACAAGCTAAATGACCTTGCCTTTACCTTCTCTTCTTCGTTGTAAATATTTCCCACCCACCTTATCACCTTTTATTCACTTTCCCTGCTTTGAGCACTCACCTTGACACCCTCCAATCCTCTATCAACGCCACCCTTATTGCCTCCAACCACTTCGTCCTTTTCACCACACCCCCCCAAACACTTCTACCTGCTTTGCAAGACAGACTTTCCTGTCTCATCTTTTCCCAGATTTCTCTTGTTATACCGGCAGATTTTCACCGGCTTTTAGCCGGTTGCCTGTTATGCACAAATGGCTTCCATTTTATCGACCGGGGCTATGTCCCCATCCATTTTCAACTTTGTACTACATGTATTGATAGGACGGATACAAAAAGGTCAGGAAATTATTGGAACGTCGTTTGGAATGGATTGCATTAGAGCAAAAGAGAATTAATGACTACGACTGTACGATTACTATTGATAAGAATTGACGCACCTGCACTACTTCGTAATTGCCTTGGGGATGGGTCTAAGCGCGCGTCTAACCCGCGCCTTTTGCCACCGCCTTCTTTTTATCCCGCCGATTGTCTAGTCCTCCACCAGCTTCAGTTCTACATACCCAGTACAGACTCGCCATACGCCGCGGGTGCTCCTATCGCACATATGGATTGAAGGCAGATTCTCACTCTCTTGATTAGTTCTTCCCAAATCAGCGGCTCACGAAGACACACCGTCACAATGTCGTCCTCCCAACCGCCGCAGAGCGGCAATGCGGACTCCGGTTCCTCAGCGAAGCCGTTCTCTTTATCACTAGGCGGAAATTCTACAAGAGCACCAGCAAATGGCCAGCCGAAAAAGACGTCCTTCAACATTCAAGGCGCGGCGCGTTCCACCGACTCACCTAGCCGAACACTCGCGCGCCGACCTCACCACCTGCACGATGACGAAGAATCCGATGAAGAAGCTGCGCCCACCCACGAAGCCGTCACCGGGTTCGACACCTTAACGGGAACCGCCATCCCCGCAAACAAGGTGGAAGAAAAGCGCGAGCTGGTTATCCCCGTCGCCGGAAACAATAATTGGAGGGACCGTCCGGGCGTCAATCTCCGGAAACCTAAGGGCAAGAACCTTTTGCCAAAGGAGGTCCAGGCCATTCAGAAAGCGCAGAAAAGGGGCGAAGTTGCTGGAGATAATGTTGAGACAGAGCGTCCGAGTGTGGCTTATGGGTTGACTTTTGCGCAGCCGGCTTCGCAGGATTCAGCCCAGCCGACGGATAATGATCGTCCGATGAAGGATGCTACTGAGCCTGCTGCTACTCCTGCTGCTGAGGAAGAACGCAAGCCACTTACTCAGGATGAGATTGCTTTGCAGGCGCTTATTCGGGAGACGAAGGGTGAGCCGGAGCGGAGGTCGGATCTTGTTATTGAGTCGGTTAATCGTGATGACGATGATCGGGCAGGAGGACGATATGATGAGACCTCTTCGTTTCGAGCGGATGTTGCGGCGCGCCCGGAGTCTGCGAGCTTGGATCAGTATAACGCAATCCCGGTTGAGGAGTTTGGCGCTGCGCTACTTCGTGGTATGGGGTGGAAGGAGGGTCAAGCTGTGGGAAGAGGAAAATACGGTGGTTCTGCAAATCAGGACAACAAGCCGCGGGTCCCGGAGCGCCGTCCTGGGTTCCTGGGGATCGGAGCGAAAGATGTGTCTGGTGGGAAGGGTGCAGAGGCCGAGCTCGGCGCATGGGGCAAGGCTGCCATGCGGAAAGGCTCCAGAAAGGGAGGGAAGGAGGGCGAGTCCAACCCGGAGGGTGTATATATGCCCATTATGATGCGGAACAAGCAAACGGGCGAGTTCATAACAGAGGAGGAACTTGCTGCGCAACGGAAGGATGCCAAGAAACGGGGCGATGAGGATGAATGGAAGCAGCGACGCGATCGCAATTTAGAGAAGAGTGGCCGTGATAGAGATCACGATCGTGACTCCCGGTGTCGCGACTACGATGACGATGACAATGATCGCTATGACAGACGGAGGACGGGATCTTCAAGGAGAGACCGGAGTTTGTCATCCAGTGACCGGCATTCAAGACGGCGCAAATACGAAGATGAAGACAGTGACAGTCGAGATGACCGCTACTACCGGGACAGAGAGCGTGACCGGGATCGTGACTATCGCCGGGATCGCGATCGGAATGGGGACCGGGAACGAGAGCGTGACAGGGACAGAGATCGGGATCGGGACCGCAGCAGACGGTATCGAGAAGATGATCGCCATAGTAGCTCGAGGCACTCGTCGTCGCATACATCGAGCAGACATCGTGACCGTGATAGGGAGCGAGACAGTGATCGCGACTCCCGCCGGAGAAGGAGAGACGATGATCGATGATTCGGGGAAGACCTTTCAGTTTCATAGACATATTCAAATCCGCATATACTACTTATGATCTTGGTACCATTTTTGTATGACTAAGGGCGTGTGGATGGACTGTCGATAGTGACACTATTAACGCTGGCGTTTTAACACTGACAACAGATCTCATAGCCATGTAGAATATTTGCCTCAACAGCTTCGAATTCAGAACAGGTAGTATCATCTGAAAAAAAAGCAAGAACTTTTTATATGCTGGTTTCCTAACAAAAACAGAACAAGTACTCCCACTGAAAGCGCCAACATACACACGGTATTTGCAAAGATCATGCAGATTAACTTGGGTCTATTTGTACATAGTCTCATTCAGAAGTCTTATTTTTATCCACACTTGGGTTCTCCTATACCCCCAGCATGACCACGTCTTTTTCATGCTCTGGGACACTGTCCTCAGGGAGACTGCTGTAAGGGTCGTACGGGGTAGAAACACCCAGGCCCCCGAGTCCCACACCACCGTCCATCTCAGCAAGGACCCATTCCACGAGGTAACTTTCGTCAGTAAGTTCCTCGACACGGCGGTAATGCCGGTCAGTATACGAGGCCAGCGCTTGCAGGATATCCTTCATGCCTGCTGAAGTGCGACCCTCGCGGCGACGCTTCGCCATGCTTGAGGTGGCAAGCTCGACAAAAGTTGAAGCCGGGTAGGAGCGGAACAAAGCGAACAGAATCCGCTGGGCGACTCTGGATGTTCGGGCGTTCGTGTTCCAGTCACGAAGTCTGAGAAGGAGTGTACAGAGGTTTTCGGGGTCAAGGGTTTGAAGAACCTCGTCGATCGAGGGGTTGCCAGTTAGGCTGTTGGCACGCTCGCTGGCTTCGGAATCGGTCGCTGTTGGGTCCTCTGCAGCATCTATCGCAGAAGTGAACAGGGACAGTAGCCGGGCTGGGTGGTTGAGCTGAAGCGCAAGTGTGATGGCTTCGCGATAAGCCCCGGCGCGAATGTAGTTCTGAAGCTGTTGGTCTTGCTCAATACGAGCCGAGTTGGCGTTTACAGTAGCGGTGTAAGTGGCCGAAGTCGTGTCTGTCCAGAAGGTAACAGTTGAGTCGGCAGAACCAGAGGCAAGGCCGTAGGGAGAGGTTTGTGAGAGGGTAGATGAGGACAAAACGTCGTCACGGCAGCCAGATGGCGTCGGGCTGGCCAGAGCCCAGACACGGTCTTCATGGTTGTCGAGAGTCGTCTCGACCTCGCCGCTGTAAGGGGACCAAATCTTCACCAAGCCATCTGCGGCCGCAGACGCAACCAGAGGTTTCGCCTGCGCAACTGCATTATGTGTCATTGCTTCGTCTTCATCCTCATCCTTGTTAGACAAGTCCGAAGGTGGCAGCCAGATCACCTTGAGCACACTGTTCGTGTGGCCTTCGAAAGTGAGAAGACAGCTGTAGTCCGACAAGCTCCAGATCTTGATAGTCTTGTCTCCCGATCCTGTAGCAATCATGCCTCGGTTTGTGCTCGTTCCGGTGTCGGAGGTGAGGATAGGGGTACCACGAGGAGCGAACCGTGCTGACCATACTCCTCTCTTATGTCCACGCAGGACACCCACAACAGAGCCATCCTCGATGGACCAGATCTTCACAGTACGGTCCTGGGACGCGGAAGCGAACAATGTCGATGTCGGATTGATATCCAGAGCATTGATATCCTTTTCGTGGGCTTTGCGTGTGTATACGGCCTTGGGGTTGTGAGGTTTGGAAGACTTAAGAGGGGCCAATTTACCCGTGTCCCATCGTTTGATAGTACGATCTTGAGATCCTGTGAGTAGGAAAGCAGGGGGATGATTCAAGGGGTCGTTGTGAGCAGGGGTGTTGGCTGGCGGAGGAGCACGGGGGAAACTGATGGCACCGAGCGACTCTGCATGTCCAGTGAGGACAGCAAAGCATGTGTAAGAGGAATTCTTGGGGTCAAGCCGCCAAAGACGTGCAGTATTGTCCTTTGCGCCGGTAACAAGCCAGTGACCTGACCAGTCAACGTCGATACAAATAATGATGTCGTCGTGACCTTCTAAGTGTGTGACATCGGCACCAAAGTAGTCACCCTCTCCAGTAGCTGGCCTATCCTCGGACGGGCCAACTGAAACCACCCTTATGCTTTCGGTGTTGGTAGCTAACGCAAGCATCGACCGATCGGGACCGACATATGCAAGATCAATAATATCATCATCGTTGCCGGAGATACGCCTAATAACCGGCAGCGGCTCAAACGTAGACCCAGCTTTGTAGTCGGCGAGTGGCTGAAGCGAGTGCAGTCGAATGGTTTGGTCAGCATGCACAGTCATTGCGAATGACATGCCCGCGGAATATTGGACCGCCACCACGGCCTCGAACTCGGCCGCAGCTTCTTGCTCGTGAGTAACTTCTCCTCCGCGATTGCAGTCCCACACACGCAAACGGCCGTTCTCTCCTCCCACCAAGCACAATCCGCTGTCAGCGACGAAGCAAGCTGCTTCCACGCTCTCAAGAACGGGGATAACCCGGCGCGTCTTGAAAGTCCGCACATCCCACACAATGACAGTCTTGTCGCGGCCTGCAGAGAGCAGCGCATTTTCTGCGGGCGAGTACGAAAGACTCCGTACAACAGAGACGTGCGATTCCAACGATGCGATGGGCTTCCTCTTATTCAAATCCCAGACGCGGACCATACCCTCCTCGTCACCCGACGCGAGTCGAAAAGCGCCGATCGAATCGCCTACTTCATCCATGTCCTCATCCTCATCAGAGTCAAGGTTCTTGCCCTTGGACCCCTTTTTCTTCTTCTTTGATGATGCCTTGTCGTTGTCCTGGTAAGGTACTTGAAAGAAACACAGCGCCGAGATAACACCACCATGACCATGGAAAGTATGCGTGATGTATCCACCCCGAATATCCCAAACCTTGATAGAACCATCCGCAGCGCCAGTTGCTAGGAGAGTACCCGTGGGATCGATCGCAGTCGTGACAACAGGAGCTGTGTGAGGTTTCAAGGTTCTAGCTAGTTTGGCCTCGACGGTTTGTGTGGTTTCATCCAAAGGAGTCAGAGAGTAGATGCGCATGGACATCGAGCGCGAGCAGAGAACGACGTGCGAAGCCGAAGGAGAAACTAAGCGCAGTCAGTACATACCTCTTAGCTAGCGTAGGAAAGGGAAGTAAGAGAGAGGGAGAGTTGCATACTGGCCAAGCTAGTGATTATTTCGCCATCCTAGAACATGCGGGTTAGCCATATGCGACTTCTGAATGCATGAGAGAAGCTTACGCCTTCAAGGCTGGCAACTTGGTCGCCGGTCTCAAGGTCGACCACGAGAGCATCCTCGCCAATGCAAGTCGCCAATAGACGACCACTAGCATCCAGCGCAGTGCTTCCTCCGGTGTAGATGGGACGAAGAGTTCGAGACGCCTCGAAGGTCGTCTTAACCACGGCTTTGGACATGATGGGGGAATTTTCTCAACAACCAAAAGTCTAGAAATCTACCGCGCCATCATATGACAGAACAAATCCGCGCCTTCAAAGAAAATGGCAGTTGCGTACCGCCGTCCGAGTCGCCGTCGCACCGAAACTTTTGGGTCTTTTTTCGAGATGTTTGCTTTGTTTGACGAGATGGTGGAACCCCGCTAGCTCGTGATCTAGCCGCTTCAGACGCCGGAGCCGCCTACATGACTGACACACTTACCATTTGGGGCAGGACCACCATCGATCTCGCAACCCATCAAGTTGCTTTTGCTGGTCTCGGATATCTTCATCAAGGCAGAAATGCCCCCTGCGGTTACTTTTCGATGAACGTTGTTGACATGCCCACGCGATGGGGCGGCGAGCATATCTCAATCGGCTGGCTCTGGTAGGCTCATGTCTCTTTTCTTGTATATGCTCAGCTGCGAGTGGGGACACATCTGATGTACTAGTTTGTTGTCTGCGTGAAAGTCTGTTTCTGAAGTAATATGCAATCAGCGCGAATGAGATCCCCCTTTTAGGCATATCTGCAGCTCTCGTCTTCATACCCATCTTTGTCCCCATCTTAAAACTGGCTGTCACGCCTCTACCCTCTCGCCTTCATTTTACGCGTTGCCATCTACTGTAACGACCGAATAATTAACAGTTTTCTAGGGCCGGTCTCCTTACGAAGCTCCTGAGCGCCCTGCAGGTTCTGCGGTGAACTCAGGAAATGTCACTCAGCGGACAGTATCAGGCTTACATGCGGACGGATACGTCCAGCTTTATGATGAAAGAGGCCATCCAATCAACCCCCAATCTAAGTCCTTTGGCAGGGAACTGCGTAGGGCCAAAAATGACATCCTTTCCACAATGGGGATTGTTGTCAGCGAGGATGGTAATGTTAGTGGGCCCAGCGAACAGCAGAAGCTCGATATCATAGCTGCGGAAAACGACTATGGCTTGGTTATGGCCACTCTGGACCAGGTTTCAATCTTCCTCGGCTCTTGGTGGACCTCTTCTCTTCTGGGTCGGGTACAGGTGAGAGCCCTATATACAGTCATGGAATCTATAGCAATGGGACAGTGGGCTAATCATATACCTCAGACCTTCAAGAGCTATACGCGACTGCCCCTGTTGAGCATAGTGCGTCTTGAGCGCTCTGCCTACGGAATATGGGGTTTCTATTTTGCCGGTATCCCGGCATGGGCTGTATCTACGTGCATATCCTTTTGTCGACATCAACCCTTGGAACGTTTAATTGCTTTCTTGCAGAATCTATTCCCGGAAGATGACGTGGGCTCGAGGCTTATACGGGCATTGTTGAATGTCGTATATTCAGCGTAAGACTTCCAGACCAACCTTTCCACCTTCTTCTAACGTCATGTATAGGGGAAGAGGAACCATGCTGGTCCTGGCGATACAGACGTACATGTATTCCCTCTTACAATCCCTTCACATCGTTCCTGCTCACTCTATGCCCGGGATACGCTTCTTTCTGCCCTTTGGAGAGCTAGCTTCAATGCAGCTACCAAATCTACCCACAGACCTTTCTGTCGAGTCTCTCAGCGGATTCCTACTGGGCCTCTTAAAAACCCCGTCGTTACTCGTGTACCTATCGGTATGTCTACGCCCAGTAATCGAGGTAAGGCTTTATAGATTTATTCGGCGAAGACTGCCCAAGCCTATCTACGCGGACGAACTCTCTGTGAAAGTGGCGTACGACAATGATCTTATCGACTGGATGATGCCAGCTCTCGGACGTCGATCAGAGGAAGAGAACCGTCGCAGTAATCTCACCTTCACGGAAGACTTGATGTACGAGCTAGGCTTCTTTCGATCATGGGTGCTATCCTGGTTTGGCCTCAAGTCGTTGCGCACGGCACGAGCGTCGGAGCAAGCAGCAGACGCTCGTCGTAGACGAGAGTGGCTGGAGTCCCTTCCTCAAAGCATAGAGCAGTTGCAGCACGAGCGGCAATCCAGAACCCGTCGACCACGAAGACGGTCATCCGAGTCCCCGTTTATAAATGGGCATACCCATCATGACCCAACACGTTCTGATACTCCAAATCGACGCTCGATCGATCAAACAGCTGATTTAGGGGCTGGCTTCGGTGGTAACCAAGTCCTTACCAATGAGGAAAACCGTATGTCTCAGTCGCCAACTGAAATGAGTAGTGGCGAACTCGCGGAAATGGCTCCTTTACGGAGGGCAGGGACCTTACCTCCACCAGACAACAACTCGCCAGCTCTACCAAACGGAGAGTCACGGCGTGGTGATGCAGGCGAGAATAACCGGAACTCGCGGTCGAATACGCTTTTCTCCCGTCCATCATCACCTGCGACCTCTTCTCCAGCTTCACCCCGGGTCCGGGCTTCTCTTATCCATCAGAATTCCGATGTCATCACAATGCAGCTGGAACTTTTGGGGAACCGCCGCCCTCAGAACCAAGGACAGGCGACCGCACGACCTCAAAATGAAGCCTCTCAACACCCATCCAATGGCGAGGTGGTAGACGGGCAAACAATTTCTGAATTTCTTGATAGTCTTTTGTCCAACCAGGGCAGGAATTTGACCACGGTTGTTAATTCAGATAATATGGATAGCGATGGGCTCTCCAATATGACCACAAGCGCATCGCCTATGCCTATCAGTGACAACCTTGGCTCGGCCTCTCCGGGTAACATTCAAAGTCTGGAACCACAACGGCCATCTGCTGAAGCTCCTACATCAAATCCGGTGAATATTCTGCCTGAGAGCATAGAGGAACCCTCACCTGGTGACACACTTCATCAATCACCCGAAGCAGAGCGAGCCCATGAGAATGACTTTGATTCCGAGATTTTCCCCCGAATTTCCGACCCTAATATTCGTCAGAATATGGTACCTAGTGGAACCGCCACAGCAAATCGGGTGACCATTCTCTCCTCTCACCCTGTCGACTCGTTAGCATCGCATCTAGCGTCTATACTCACAAACGTTATGTTCATACCCCTCGAATCCCTCTACCTGCGGTCCCTTGCTGCGTCGTATCTGCGGTCTACTCACGCTCCTACCGCTCTCCGAGCTGATGTTCGAGGGCTAGGAGATTGGAGTTTGACACCACGATCAGACATGTTGTCATATCTTGGAAAGCTCGCCCTCATAACTGGAATACAAGCTGCCGTGAATGCCACTGTCTGGGGTGTCATATCTGGTGCCGCTATCAAGATCGGAAGAAGGTTTTGCGGCTGGGGAACCCTATGAAGATTGTAATCTTTCTGCCAGCCATAAAATCCTGAGATGGCCTGTTAGCCACAGTACTTGCATGTGACAGAGTGGCTCTCTGCAGCCGCCGTCGCCTTTCTCTTCATTGCACATATTACTGGACATATGGACCCCGTCACTTGATCCTTCTCATATCATCTTACTACTTATAAGCCCCTAGTGACCGAGTAACTTCAACGGAATCACCTAGTATGAGCTATGGTTGCAAGACTAAGAATAACTCGGAAGAAATATTGATTCTATCATCGTCGTAAATTCTTAATTATACAGTAACCCCTCCTTTGCGAGGCCTACGATCGGGGCCATTAAACAAGGAATATTTGACAAGACTTCACATCCAAAGACATCCCGGTATCATTTAGCCGGGTTCTTCCCTTTACGATTAGCCATGCCAGGGACCTTCCGACGCTCCCATACCATCAAGTACCCTTCCTTCGTGAACAGAGTCTCGCTTTCCGCCCGCTTCACAAATAGATCCTGAATCTCCAGCCACTCGGGTCCACGCTGCTCGCCAGCATGTTCTTTCTGAAGCCGATTGTTCTCCGCAGACATAGCTTTATCATGCAACTGAACAAGCCAGGAGACTTTCTCGCTTCCTGCTCCAGCCCCTGACGAGGCTTTCCCGCTAGCTGCGTTGACTCCTTTGTCTGCTGCGGCTTCCTCGTGGGCACCTGGGGCGGCGACAGTGGGGTCGAGGATGATGTTTGCGACGAGGTCGTAGAGGATCGGTTCGCCTGGCGGCCAGATCTCTGGGTTCGGCTCAACGTATGGCGACATATCTAATGAGCGAGGGGATGGGAAGGTCACGATTGTAGGGTTTCGTTCGGAGACGAAGCGGTTCTTGCTGAAGCGCTTGATGTGGAATAGAAGGTAGGGAGGAAGGGGGTGGAGGAGCCTGTGCCGGACTCTGTGGGCGAGTTTTTCGGAGGCGGTGATTCCGTTGTATTTGTTTAGGAGGGTAGTCAGAGGGACTTGCGGGATGATAGATTCCCGGTTGGCGGATTGGAAGAGAGGCGTGGGTGGTAGATCTAAGGTGAGGATGAGGTAGGGTGTCGTTTGGCTGTTGATAGAGCCGGATTCGGTGAACACTAAACGTGCGTTTTGGGTATCTGAGTGGGCTGTGATAGCCTGGCTTTCGATCCTCAAGTGACCCTGGAATGCGGCTTGGACAACGCTTGTAGGCGTCTTGGATGGTTTCTTGGAACCTCCGAGAGACAGGTGGAGGTTGTTCAAGAACCAGGACATGAAGTCCACTGGGTCGGACTGCTGTGTGAGGGTAAAGCGCTTCGATGAGCGGAGAGCGATTTCCTGCAACAATTCGTGCGGAGATACATGGGAGCGGAATGCCTTAGGGTTCCATAGTTTTCGGACTAGAGTACTGAAGCGGAGGGCTAATTGAGGTGTTCCTGGTTGAGGGAACTCGTGCAGCAGGAAGTAATTGCGGATGGGGAAGACGTGAGCTAAGAGCTGGACCACCACGTTCAGATAATCGTTGGCTTTGATATTATTCATACCAACAAAGCCTGGGGAAAATTAGCACATTGCACTTAGCAACATAAACGACCTGGGTGTCTTACCAGGCCTATAACGATTTCCTGCAAGGTCGAATGCGTCATGAACCTCCTTGTCCAGCTTCATCACTTCATCCCTATTATAGTACGGGTCCACCACATATTTGATATCATCCAAGCTCTGGTTCTTGACTTCATATCCTTCCGGGAGAACGTAGACCTTTTTGGTACCCATATTGACGAAAACATGATGTCCGACCTCAAGCGCATGGAAATAAGCATGCGACTTTGGTCCTCTGCCCTGGAAATATTTGCCGCACACCAGACAAGCGTACACATTAATATTCGACAAGCTGACCGAGCACAGCTTTTCGAAATCGAAGTCGAGAATTTCACGATTGATTGTATCGAGGTACAGGTCACTGTAGCCCTCCATGGGGGCGCTCTGACGTTTCGGGGCCGCGATAACCGGTTTGTCGTCATCAGCATCGACATCGGACGATTCGGGACCTCCATCTTGCGCTGCTTCTGCTAGCTCTTCGCCTTCCTGGTCGGCAGCCGCAAGTATGTTCTGTCCGCTGCGCTCATGTTCTTCAAGCTCCTGTCCAGTCGCCCGGCGAATCGGCAAAGCTCCACGGCGCGGGTCGTCCTCCGGCAGCTCTTCGTCCTCCACACGCGCTTTCTTCGAGGCAGGGGAGCCTGCTGCGAGCTCTTCCTCGAGCGACAGCTCAGCTTGTCTCTTCGACATCATGACTGGGTAGAATGGCGAGATTTGTGAGGGAAGCTGCTGGGGTTGCGGGATTCAAACTGGCGAAGGACGCGATGCAAACCGCCGGGTGCAAACATGCCAAACACCCGCACAGCGTCATAAGGTGCTTGGTTACATACGGCATCATGGAATCGCAACCCGGCGGCATCAAGCTAGGTGCGCGAGTGCTACGATACTACAGACACAGCGACTTCTCGAGAAATCATTGATATTGTCTCTACCTAGTTAAATAATAGGAGAAACTTTGTCTCGGTCAAAGTCATGGAAAATACCCTGCCATGCAAACCGATCTTCTCTTGAAACCCAAGTCCCGTGAAACCGAAAACATTAGACAATCATTGGTATGATACATCACATTAGGCACTCTTGACAATCCTGTTATTATCGAATGGTACTTCTTGCACGCCGTCCTTAGTCACGATCTTCACCAGAACCTAGAAGCTGTCAGCTACCCGTACTCGCTCGCACTCCAGGGCCTATAATTCCGGTAACATACCCCCTTGTAATCGATCGGTAGTCTGCGCTTCAACTCGTCTGTGCACATTTCCAAGAGCTTCATTCCTTCTTCGAGCGAAATGTCGGGGTGGTGGTGTTTATCGAGGGTGGACAGACAGTAGTATCTAGAGCAACTTAGTATGGATCCCAACAGCTGATACCGCTGTTACCCAGCGCCCGCACTTACTGTGCATATCCGTGAGCAGCATATGGTACAGGGGCCAGTGATGCCAGGTAATCAATCCAGTATAGGTGAGGCTTGTGCGTAATGGGATCGACACCTCCCAGCAAGAGGTTGACAGTGTAGGGATTCCGAGACCGCAGACTCCGCGCCATTTCTCCCCGAACAAAGCTAGCAACTGCCATCGGACCCAGCTCGGTATCGTTCCGCATCGTGTATAGTTGGATGTTGGCTTGGATGTACTCCGCAAATTGTACTAGTTGAGCTCCGGGTTAGCTATGTAGTTCCTGGCGGTTCCGCGTCTCCGATCACTGGGGAAGCTGCGACGAACCCGTGTCTCCCGCCTCTCCGGAGAAGGCCATAAGGTTGTGTTCGTTCAGTTGCTTTGTCTTGTCATCTTCGGCTTTGAGGATGGTGGGGCCTCTCATGGCAGCCTTGGAGGCCGCCAGAATGACGAAGTCCTTGCCAGTGATGCCGAGTAGAACCTCCCTGTGAACGAGGATGTGTGAGCGTCGTGTCCATCGATATAAATTGCGGTGTACTTACATGTCTGTAGTATCTCAGGGTGTGATTATTTGAGAGGAAAGATGAAAGAGAGGGCGGTAATGGAAGAGGTGATGGGAAGATGACAGTCGAGAGCCCATCGTTGGCCGCGCGGAGCTTTGACTGCCTGGAGCTGCGGCTCTTGTTGCCTTACTGCCTTAGGCCGGAGCTCCGCGCTGAGTCAGCAATTAGGCGTAAAGTTGATGCGCCTTCCGCCTGCACGGTCCACCGGCAGAAAAAAGTGAGAAACCCGAGTATCTCCATCGCATCGGCCAATTTGCCAGAGCCTTCTTCCCCTCCAGACCCTCTTTTACCGCCGTTTTCCACTCCCGGAGCTTCGGTCAATTACTTTGGGTGATGTCGTCTTTTTTCACCCTGCCCGCTTCGCAGCGGAAGCGCAAGAGAGAAGACCGCGCCGGCGCCCCCGCGTCTAAGAAACGAGGTGTCGATGGAGACGGAGATGCGGGCGCAAAGAGTGGCAAGAAGAAGACCAGGGAGCCGTCGGTTTCGGGAAGCGATATCGATGAGGATGAGCTCAGTGGCGCATCAGGTTTGTCGGAGGAGGAAAGTGGCTCGGATTCCGACGAGGGAGAGACAGCCGGAGACCGGAGATTGAAGCTTGCGGAGCGGTACTTGGAGAATGTCCGGGATGAGGTTGAGGACTATGGCTTTGATGCAGCCGAGATCGATCGTGACTTGATCGCAGAAAGGCTGAAGGAGGATGTTGTACGTATCCATCGACCCATTCCGCTCCTGTTCGGCTGGTCGGGCATTTTACATGCAGAGCTGACGAGAACTGCAGGATGAATTCAAAGGACGCGTTTATCGTCAGATCGCCTCCGAATTGGCCTTCTCGACGGCCTCCCATACCTTCTTCCGGGCAGATACGCAATCAACTACGTCAATTGCAGTCCACGCGCCGTATGTTTACACCGTTTCGAAGGACAAGACCTTGATCAAATGGGAACTCGCCACACCCACCTCCACGGCCCCTACGACAAACGGAGAAACTTCTAAACGTCCCCCAGCGCCCCAACGGAAGAAGCCAAAGCAGGTCAGGTTTGTGCGGGGCTTGCGAAAGGTTGCGGAGACGGGAGAAGAACATGGCCATACCAAGAACATCTTGTCTGTCGCAGTGTCGCCGTCCGGAAAATTCGTAGCCACGGGAGGACAAGACCGGAAACTCATTGTCTGGGATGCGGAGACTCTTACTCCCTTGAAGACCTTCACACAACATCGCGACGCTGTCAGTGGTCTTGCCTTCGCTCGTCATATATCTACCATGAGTTCCGGAGAGCAGCTCTTCTCTGGCTCTTATGACCGGACCATCAAGACCTGGTCTTTGAGTACAGCCGGGCATGCCTATGTTGAAACACTCTTCGGACATCAAGACCACGTTACGTCCGTCGCCGCCATGGCCATCGATCAGTGTGTCAGTGTGGGAGCGCGTGATCGCACGGCCAGGTTGTGGAAGGTTATCGAGGAATCCCAATTGATCTTCCGTGGTGGCTCTAAGAGCGCCTCCTATCAAGAGAACAACATTGACTGTGTAGCGCCGTTACCTCCTAACCACTTCGTTACGGGATCGGACTCAGGTTCCATCTCTCTCTGGTCCATTCACAAGAAGAAGCCTCTTCACACGATCCCTCACGCACACGGCCTCGACCCCTTACCTCCACTGGACGAACTCTCCTCGGAAGTCAACCAGGAAACCGCAGCACACAACTCCCGTCACCTCCGGCGGATGCCCCGCTGGATCACCGCTTTGACTACCCTTCCAGGCACAGACGTCGTTCTTAGTGGTAGCTGGGATGGCTTCATCCGGGCCTGGAAGATCTCAGAAGACAAAAAGACCATAGTTGCCCTGGGCCCTATCGGAGCAGGACCCAGCATCCCGCTTACTCCCGATACCCCATCCGAGCAACTAAAGCAGACCCTCGCTTTCGACACACCAACGAGCCCGGATCACATGGCAGTCGACGGTGCGCCGGCCCAGCAGGCCGAGGAGGAAGCCGAACCGCTGGTCAAGGGTGTTATCAACGACATTGCCGTATTCGAGCGTCGCGCAGAAACCGCCAAACCTGGCCAAGCGCCAGCGGAACCCAAGTCCAAGTCCAAGACCAACAACAAGCCGTCTGCGCCCGAGCAACATGGGCTCTGCATCGTAGCCGCTGTTGGCAAGGAACATCGGCTAGCAAGGTTCAAATGCTTCTCCAACAATTTCCATGACGGCCCCACCGCAGACGGTCGGAACGGCGCCGTGGTGTTCGAAGTACCATTTATCTCCGAAAAATCGAAATGATCGATCGATTAGTATCCGAATCGAGGCGCTGACTGACTAACTGATCTTGGTGGCGGCGCTGGACGGCTGTATGCAATGTAGTGAAAACAAGGCGTCTGTGCATTCTATATTTCCTTCTATTTTATGCATGTATCTTTTATTCCCGGGCCCGGTGGTCTCTGCATATTGCTTTCAAAAGTTCGCATTAGACGAGGTATTTTTCTGTTCTACTATCTCTCTAATCTCCGTGATTTAGCCGGTTTTCTGTACGATGTATATACTACTTTGAACATGACAATTTTCTCAAATGACTCCTTCCTAGTACTAGTATTATCACTACTCATCACAAGACATCTATCTACCAACAGAAACCACTCAACCAAATCCACCCCCTCACCAAGTCAAACCAACTGAACTAACCCCAACAAAGCCATCATTGTGTATCGACAAGTCCTTCCTTCAACCCACAACATAAGCGCCGAGCGTGACAACGACCCTGTCCCCTGCAGGCCACTAAGTCTAGCTTGTCTAGCTAGCGGGTTCATTAATTCCCCGGCGCTAAAGCCGGCGACTAGACTGAAGGCGGATAGGGATATCTGCCTAGGCCCTAGAGCCCTAGACTAGATACTATTTAGTGGACTCCGCGAGTTGGGCGGGGCATGCTGCATAGTTACTAAGTTTAGTTCAATGATACTACTACTATTATTATCATTCACGGCTATGGTTTATGATCAGACGCAGTAGGTATTTACTCGTATGTTGGCCGGGAAGGACTAAGGGTTATTCATGTAGCACTAAATGCCCTGACGCGCGCACGCGAATGTGCGCGGTTAGAATCGGAATTTGGGGAGGGGTAGGTGGTAGTAGTATGTCATGCAGGGCGGGCTGGAGAAGGATGCAGTGTTGGAATTTGGTGGTAGTATGGTTGTGGCTGTTGTGGACAGGTGGGATACTGGTGCTGGCTTTGTGGTTTTTGTGGCTGGGAGTGTGGAGGATGGGTGTCCTATTCTATTCTACTGACATACTAGCAACTACTGCTTGGTCATGGTTGTTATATTCAGTGTGGGAAGTTTTGGTATGTATTGTCTCAATCAATGAGATTGGCATTTCCTGCAATCTAGAATGATAGTAAAGCGGGAAAGAAGAAGAGTGACAGAAGACTATGGAATAAGATGCTTGATGATACAAGTGCTCTTAAACAGAAATGTCATAATAAACCGAGCGTCGCCTGGAAATGACCTTTACCCAAGGTACTGAATTAGCAGCAAGAGACAAGAGATCGAAACAGGGGTATTTTCGAATGGCCTGAGAGGGAAGTTTAAGCCTTCGTCGCGGGGATGATGCAAGTAGAAGTGAACACGTGTTCGTATTTTCTTCGAGGTGGTCGTAGATCAAATTGCCAGCTCGGTTGTTCGTGTGTATGTAGCAGGCCTAATATAGAAGGGTATAAGTTCTTTTGGGGTCTCAAGGATGGGTGAACTAGCACCGCAGAATCAGGGGAAGTCGCAGATAATGGATCATTAGGAAGTAAATCAATCGTCATTGGAATCGTAGATGAGATGTCGGAGAGCTTTAGTAGGCTGAGGGGCGGCGATTGCCCCTGTCTCTTGTCCGCCTAGTTGGTCGCACGGGGCCTTCGTCAGAATCGTCATCCACGCTGATTGCATCCATAACAGTAGACCCGGCGGACACTTGCTGTGGGAGCCGTCGATCATTACGGATTCCTGCTTGGGATCTGGATTCACTGCGTCCCGAGACTGTACCGGAAGTCCCATTCTCGCAAGATGGAGAACTCGACTGTATTCGGTAGGTTTGGATGCGATTGCGCCGCATACCACCTGCAGGCGGCAGAATCGGATCCTCGTCGTCGTCATCATCATCATCGTCGTCATCATGACTTTCATCATCCAGGCTCTCCTCGTCCAGGCTTTCCTCAGACATCTCATCAAAGGTTGACAGGTCAGTTCCGATAGTGTGGGTGATCGAGATTTCATGCCGCCCAACTACCGTGGATCGGTCAGATTCGGAATAATCATCGTGTTCCAAATCATCGTCGATGAACGAATCCATGTCCGCATCCTCATCCTCCTCATCCATGTCGCTATCTTCTTCGAGAGCTGACGAAATTCCAGAAGGCCAGTCATAATTGTTCTGCCGGCGGAAAGGCCCATTTGCACGCATACCCGGAAGGTCGCCAGGAGCTAGGCCATACCATTGACGATACAGTTGGTCTATGTCGGCAGGTTGTATATCAAGGGGCAGGTGGTCATGGTTGGGATCCCAACCATATTCGTCGGCGTCTCCAAATCCATCTTCAATCTCATCATCGTCGTCCAAGTAGTCCGTCATTTCGGAATTTTCATCTGACTCACTCCAGCCCGAACTGCCAGTCACAGACTCGTCATCTTGTCGATACCCGCACTGTGCACATCCTTCATCTTCCTCTAGCTCCCACGAACAACGTGGACAACGCACAACATTGTCCTCGAGATCGACGATGGGTTGCGCAACTGGAATCTTCTTGTTGAACGTACCACGGAACAGTCCCCCCTCCCGCGGGTGTGTATTTGTTTTGTCCTTTTCCAGTCGTTCCGCTTCCTCGGTTTGATGAACTAGGTGTTCGACTGTGGTCTCGCCCTTATCAAGCAGCTCCGGGCGACTTGTGAACATTTGAACAACAGCGCGTACCTTGAATACTTCAGTTAGTGCCTGTTGAGCATCGAATCATTAATGAGCATGATATCAGGGGCTTACCAAGTAAGCGGGAGCAGGTTGCGCTTTCACCGGTGCTCGACAGTCCGGGCATGTCTTGTTGTGCCTCCCACCGACAAACCATGATGTTAAACACTAGAGCGAAAGGTTAGACGCCAAAAGTTATGAGGGTGGTCGAGATTGGCGATACTGACACTATAACAAAAGGTATGTCCGCAGGCAAGGGTGTAGGGTTCATAAAGTGGTCGGATGCAAACGCCGCATTGTAGGAGAGAACGGATATCGTCGACATGGCCTTGCAGAGTTTCGAAGAGCTAGAGATGAGGGGGATGTATCAGCGCACGAGAAGCTCGAGTCTAGGAAGGAAAGCTTACCCCCGACGCGTTGTCTCCAGTATTGACATTTGCTGTGCTGGTGCTCTCGGAGCCATTGCTCAGCGCAGCTCCAGTGGGGGTAGGTTCGGACATGGTATGAGGATACACGGATCAGATGCTGGTGGTAACGGGCTTATATAGTCGGGAATCAGGTCCTTGTATCCGGCGCGACAAGTTCCGTTTCAGATACGGAACGTAGACGGTCTGCGGTCGGAGAGGAAGGGGTGGGATACAAATAGTATGGATGGGAACTCTCAGGTACGCGCGAGGATTGCCGACATAACTGGGTCCGGACTTTTGCTATGGCAGAAGGAACTCCCCACCAAGCGCTGGAGTTTGACGCGACGGGAGAAGGGCGCCAGAGGTCGAAATGAGGTGCTGTTGGCCTGAAGATACCAGACGGTATGACCGGCACGAAGCAGAGGGTGAAGGTTCGAAGAAAGAAAAGAGAAATATGATCTATGGCGATTGGTCTGGCCGGCGTGAGCATGATTTTCTGGTCGGGGAATCTGCGCGCAAACCGAACAAACAATGGGGCGGCGGATGAATGAGTGGATCCGTGGAAGAAGCCGAAACTCTACCTATCGTCGGGTCGATCCCATACATCACAAGTTCACATCCATCTCTACTCCGGACCTTCCAACACATCTTTCCAACTTCCAACAATGAGTCTACACCAGTCAAGACGAACCAGGGAGAATCGGGATTCAACCCAGTCTGATGGGTTAGCAGACAAAGTTATGGGCTGTGATTTGTCCCTCTTCAGAGCTAGACGACGACCCTAACGGAAAACTAACGCCGAAGGAGTAACCCGGCGCCGTCTCACCGTCGATACACCAAATGTATCTCAGCAGCTCTTTAGCTCTGTCATAAGTGGGCCACATCGAGGTTTTCACTGCAGTTGGCTCGAAATAACGTGTCCAGAAATTATTGTAGTCAAGCAGTGAGATGGGGCCTGCTCATGTCCCAACAGTTCTGATACTTGCGACAAGTTGGCCACCATCACCCTTATTCAAATTAGTGCATTCGCTTCGTATGTCCTATGTCCTGGCGCTTCAGTGAACCTTATGTGAGTATGCAGGGTACAACTTGTTTTAAGATAATGTGATGGCCTCTTTTCTCGTGGCAATAACTAGGGCAGCGTGTCTCCATCGTATGACAGAAGGAACATGGCTAAATCCGGACACCAACAACCGTCTGCCACACTTAGATTTCATCTTCTCTACTCATCTTCTATACTATGGTTAGCCCCATCTAGCACTCTCTCATCACGGTTGTATAGTCCAGATCCTTGGTGCGCACGGCTTCACTATATTGTTCCTCTTCAATTGGCAACTGACTGCAGGTCATCTGCATGCGGTGCATTTACTAATACTTCAGCCAAGCAGCGCATGGCTTTGGCTTATGAATTTGTTCTAACTGCTCCTGTTGCACTAAGGCGCTTGATAACCGCCTCAAGACCACCCACTTTCAGGTTATACCCCCGTAGCCGGCTACCCCCTACAAGAAGAGTGTCTCCTGGCTGTTTACTGATGTGTTTATGCAGGTTTGGATGTATTATGTATGAGACAGAATATGGAGAGGTTTGAATTGATATCCTATTTGATTTAGGGATCTTTTCTTTCTTTCGCGAAAATAAAATGAGGGCGTTGGTCTTTCAAAGCCAAGTTGAAGCGAAAGTGTTAATTTTCAAATGACGAGGCGCAGCAGACGTAGCATTTGGTTGTTGCATCATTCGACATCAGCAAGCGCCCGCTTACGCGAATGCTCGCGCTTCAAATCCTCCGAGATGAGATGGCTATCATCGAAGACGCCCTTGATCACTTTCTCGTCTTCCACGATCTCCTTATCCATATGCTCAAGGAAATCGATCTGCTCCCTAATGAAATTCTTGGCAGCACGAGTATCAAAAGTGCGCCGGGCTCTTTGCTGATCGCGCATGAGCCTATTGACGTCACGGAGACGCTCGCCAAGAAGCTCGAATCGATACTCGGTGAACTGATGATATAATTCATTCAAATTTGAGATCGGTCGGACGGTGGTGAGAACGGTGTCGTCCTTGACGGACGAAGCCCGAGGACGGAAGGACGTCACCATGGTGATTCGCTCCGTCGCTCCCAAAGCACGGAGTGCTTTGTGCTCAATGTAACGGCCTTGTAGGATGACCGCTGAACCCTAGGACGACTCATAAGCCTTGAGCTTTGGGGATCCATCTGTCATGTACTTACTTTCTGCGGACCCCTTACTTTGACAATTTCGCCATTGCCCGTACGCAGGGCTGTTTCACCTCCGATCATATTGGTACAATCGGACAGCATTGTCACGCAGACGAATGGGTAGCTGTCAGTGTGCCAGTCGACTATGGCATCATCGTCGCTGGGCTTTACGGCAATGGCCTTGCCCAACACCCCGGCTTTGTTCGGAGCATCGTGCTTCTCCTCTTCGCTGTGGCCAGAAATGTTAACGTGTCCCAGCTCGAAGTCCATAACCGGGACAAGATCGACACCAGCAACTTTGGAGATTATGGCAAGTGTCTCTGGGTTTTTCCAGGCGTCATAAACAAATGGAGCGCACCTATTCCTATGTGTCAGTCATGGCCTCACATAAGGTGAAAGCTTCGATATTTACTCAGCTGCATATCCCCTGAGTTGGCATTGAGCGATCTCACTCGAGTACTTGTGGTTGGAATAGACCTCTTTGGTGAGGACTTCCTTTCGCATTTGCTCAATAGCTTCGGCCGAGAATAGTGGGAAGGGCTCGGAGACGCCAACAGGGGAAACTCCACGGCTGTTAGGGTAGCCGAGCTCAACCATGGTGTGGACCTTCGAAGGGGGAACGAAAGCTAGATGCTTGGACGGGTCGAAAACCACATTGTTTGGCTCTGCAGTGGCATCTTCGATCTGGCAAGCCTCGCCGGCGATCTCGACTAGCTCATTGATGGCTGAGACCGGGCTGGCCATGCTAGATCCAATAGGGGCCATTGCTAAGATTTGAGAGGATCCTTAGAGACAATTGGCAGAGGAGATGGTGTTCTGTTACTTTGAGGGCGCTTAATGGTCTGTTACTCGAATGGACTGGGAGAAGCTGATGAAGAAAGGAAGAGTTCAAGGGTGGCCAGGTATTTATACTCAAATCCAACAAACCTGCTCGTGGCAAGATCCGGATTCCTATAACTTCACTGTACGCTGAATCTTGACAAATCGGTGGGCTTCTCCAATATGTGAATTCTCTCTGAAGCTTAACAGCTGATAGCAAGCTTCAGTTATAGAAAAATACGCACGGTATGTTCCTTGGTCAGTGAAAGCATGTTAATGGATGCATGGGCAGATCGGAGCGTGCTAGTGGCTTGAGCATTGAGGGACTACTTTTTCTTGGGGAATTTCTGTTATGAAGTCCTCATATTCGGTGAGGCCCTATGCGGCTGGTCATGAACATTAACTGGGCTCCGCTTTTCATACTGCTCGGTGGAAGCAACATGAACATCTTAGGCCTATAACGGCAGCCGATGGAGATAGCCCGTGGATACTGTTCCTGTGTTCAGTCAGGCACAGTGAATTCATAGCTAACCCAGATACCATTCTCCTGGTAGGCGTGCAATGCTTGGTTGGGCCTGAATTTGTTGGTGCTTTCAGTCACCGGGTAGAGCCAGACAGAACAGACCCCAGTGGCAAGGTGTGGGCAGATAGTGATTGTGTCAACCAGTTTTGGAAAGCCAGACCAGGCAGCTTCCCAGCTGGTACGTGTGCGGCTAGCGCCGAGATATCTTACTACCTCACATCGAACCTGACGCGTGCTTCTAAATTTCCTGTTTCGAACATTGGCAGCCAAAGATTCGATTAGGGCATTCCAGTACCAGACGGGCACCGATCGATATCCCGGTTTGGTGGGATTGGGGTTTGAGCGTATATTACGAGAACTGCCAAACATCTACGCGATAAGCCACTAGTAGTTGGGAATTTCGACTTAATTAGGGATCAAGGATCTGAATAGGTTCAGTTGTCCCGCTGGGCAGGTTGTTGGTAAGCTGATGCGGCTATCAGATAACAGAGATCACGCCCTCACTCACTGCCTATGCCGGTCGTTGCGGACTCGCAAGCGTTCTGCAGCCCTTGCGCTTTCCGCGCCCATACAGGTGTCATTTGATGTCTATTGCCAATAAGGGGCATTGTGGAAGGACTGGCAATGGTCCTCGTATCCCGAAACAGGTCATAATCAAATGCATTCTTGCTTGGCCCGGACTAGAGCAACAGCATTGTAGATGCCCTCTGCGTGTGAGCAGTAAAGGTTTAGATACTTTCCGGCAATCTCGCCCCCTGGCTGACTCGTATATCCACAATGAGTATGCAAACACAAATGGGCACTGGAATCATGATTCATATTACCCTAGTTCATATATGGACGGTGTAGTGGGCGTGCTACATACTATCAGTGCTTGCATGTTTACAGGCTAGCTTCATTGTTCAACATTACTGTGATATGACCAGATGGGATTATCTCCTAGCATGGATGGGCCACCCAACAGAAAAGACTGATGTGTCCTGCAAATGGTAGCCCGTCCTACCAATAGCTTTCTTCGGATATGGCTTTCTTCCTCGAACCAGCACCCTCTATAGCAGCCTGCATTGGACCATGTGACGAACGGAAATAAATTCAGACAACTTCTGCCACCAACATGTACGCAATCCGAAAACGCCACCAAATTTCTGATCGAATTGGCACTATCTATAGAATAGTGCAGACGGAGGAAAAAGTAAAGCAAGCATATCCCAAAATGCCATGGCAATGGGCGGTAACCACTGCAGATGGCGTCCCAAACAGATGCAGTACCTGCCTTGGGGTCAGTCATTATTTGAATTGAGCCCCCTGAACTCGTAGATAATCTGGGCTTAATCTCCATCTCTCTGGACAAATGCGTTGGTGGCTCCACACTTGCAGGGCGAAATTATTTGAGAATCTACAGTCCATCTTTCTGGAAGGTGCAGTAATCTTAGAGTGGAATCGCTCGCAGCCGACCATCCTTAAATCAAAACTGAAGCAAAAGATCAAGACCTTTAGCTTTCAGGCAGGATCCGTAGTCTAAATTCTCTCAACCGTGCGACGTTCAACCGGATCAATGGGATTCCATTTTAAGGTTCTCATAGTTCTCGGGGATGGATCTCCACGCCAAGACTGGCGGGTCTGGATTTTCCTCCGGTCGCTTCGATTGGTACAACTACTGCCATCCTCATCCTCATCAACATTCAACATCTACCCGCAATATCCCGGATATCTCCTTTCTCGGGTTTAGAGTTTCCTCCTCTCATAGTCACCCTAACTCACTCCGAATTCTGGCGCTCGCCTGCTTGGCTCATCACAGAAGATGGCTTCCCAATCTGATAAACAACCATCCTCATCCGACCAAACCAACCCCAATGCCTGGGAGCGGGTGGAGCGGAAATTCACCAGGTATGTTTAGGCGTTCGCCTCTTTCTGATCCTCACCGTCAATGTTCTCCTCCCTTTTTTAATAATCGAGCGCAATCACGCGCTCGAAAGTTTGAGCTCTTGGTTTGACTTCTCTCGTGCTGCTCCAATGATTCAATGGTTTTCATCCATTAAGGGAGAGGGGACAAGGTCGATCTGCTCGCCCATGACAGCTACTTGTAGATAAGTGTTCATTACTGACAATCGCCTGTTGTCTTTAGCAAACCAGCAAGCGAATACTTTGACCCATGTCAAGATTTCGCAGATCGAAGCCTCAAGTGCATGAAGCGCAATGGTTTCGATAAGGAGATGTGCTCGGATTATTTCCAGTGAGTTCACCAACTCGTCACAGGCATCTCCTCACCTTCTACTCAGCCGCTATGATTGGTCGACTTGCTGCCATTTGTCTTTGAGAAATCACATATGGTGCCATCTTCTACCTGTCAAGTGGCTGAAGTAGCTTCTTTCCGGAGTTTCCTGCCTTATGTGGATTATCAACCCCATAAACTGACTAAATACTATACAGGGCTTATCGGGATTGTAAGAAGGAATGGGTGAGTACGGTCCATTGGGCTTGACTTCTGCAGCCTTACCACTCCCTCGCTCGGGATCACCCCTTGGAGGAAGATTGCGCGCCCATTGGGAGAATTATTGGATTGCTTTCGGTCATAGATGGACTAACGTACATCTCTAGTTAACGCAAAAGAAGCTTGGCTCGTCTGCAGCCAAGCGCTAATTGAGGGCTTCTTGGGTTTCCTATGCTACACTGACTTGCATTCGGAATTGTCACCATCATAATCGCCCTGTTATCGCGCCTGTGTTTACCAGACCTTCAGTATCTTCTGAGCCAGAACCATGCTCTCAATTATCTCTTGCTCTCATTGGCGTGCTACCATTTTTGTCCAGGCCCAAGGCATTGACATGAATGCTACTTGTCGGCGGTCTGAGCCATGCACCAGCAAGCCGCCTATATGTTCAGTGACTTGACGAAAACTCTGTTTCTATCACCAGCTGCTGTCATCGGGAAAGCAATTACTGTTTCTGCCATGAGATACCTGGCCTTGCTTCACTATTTCCCAGTTCGTCTGTACAGTGGATGAGGTCTCATTTGGGCATGATTTTTCCTGGCGTTCACAGTGCATGGCTTCAGTCATTGGTCTGGCTTCTGTTATCTGTATATTAGATGTGTCACTATTTT